TAGTGCTTTTCCGAAAAACACTGATTCAAACACTGCTCAAGAGTTCTGCAACTTGTTTAAATTATTGTTTATGTTCCTCGCGTCTCTCTCTCCTCGCGTCTCCGTCTCTCTCTGCTCCTCGCGTCTCCGTCTCTCTGCTCCTCTCTGTCTCTCTCTGCTCCTCTCTCCTCGCGTCTCTCTCTCCTCGCGTCTCCGTCTCTCTCTGCTCCTCGCGTCTCCGTCTCTCTGCTCCTCTCTGTCTCTCTCTGCTCCTCTCTCCTCGCGTCTCTCTCTCCTCGCGTCTCTCTCTCCTCGCGTCTCCGTCTCTCTGCTCCTCTCTGTCTCTCTCTGCTCCTCGCGTCTCCGTCTCTCTGCTCCTCTCTGTCTCTCTCTGCTCCTCGCGTCTCCGTCTCTCTGCTCCTCTCTGTCTCTCTCTGCTCCTCGCGTCTCCGTCTCTCTGCTCCTCTCTGTCTCTCTCTGCTCCTCTCTGTCTCTCTCTGCTCCTCTCTCCTCGCGTCTCTCTCTCCTCGCGTCTCCGTCTCTCTCTGCTCCTCGCGTCTCTCTCTCCTCGCGTCTCTCTCTCCTCGCGTCTCTGTCTCTCTCTGCTCCTCGCGTCTCCGTCTCTCTGCTCCTCTCTGTCTCTCTCTGCTCCTCTCTCCTCGCGTCTCTCTCTCCTCGCGTCTCCGTCTCTCTCTGCTCCTCGCGTCTCCGTCTCTCTGCTCCTCTCTGTCTCTCTCTGCTCCTCTCTCCTCGCGTCTCTCTTTCCTCGCGTCTCTCGCACCCGCGCTTCTTAAAGATGTTGTTTGATGCGGAGCAGAGTCAGCAGCTAGATTTGTTGTGAGATTATTAAAAGAAGCTGGTTCTCTTATCTTTACAGTATATAAAGTTTGTGGATGTCATTGCATTGGTGATTAAATGCTATTTTATTTGAATAATGATTGTAAATCTGACTTTTAAAGTCAGTGCCTCCCCAATCACAAACCTCACCGCACGTCCCTGATTCAAACTACAAATCACCTCTGTTATACTGACCTTTCATCTCAAATGTAGTGTTTATATTGAGGGCATTTCAGGGTCTAAATTAGACCTAAACCTGAAATGTTAAATAAATTCACTCCTAACTAATTTAAATACATAGGAGTTGAGAGGAGCTCAGAAAGCACCAGTGGTTCATACAGTACACCACAGTTTGAGAAACACTGCACTGGACACTTTCTTTCACCAGTAGAAAGTGGTGACACATGTAAAATGCTAAAATGCTGAAATATCATATATATTATCACAATACATGTATTGTAAGAGCTTTATTACCGTACTCAACATGTCTGGCCTGCAGCCGGCAGCGACTACAGACGTGCTCTTGTCCCACACAGGTATGAGAGTCCAGCTGTCCTCTCTGCTGACTCAGGCTTTCACTGTAATTCCCCTAAAACAGCTGCACATTTAGCCACATGTTTATCACATCTGCAGGGAACGGTTAGCTCTGTTTGAACAGAGAGTTCAAATATTCACAGTGAAGATGGGAACAGAGGGGGCGACCTGGGTCAGATCTGACCACAGTGATTCAGAAGCTTCAAACAAAAGATTTTCTCATAACATGGACAGGAAACATAACATGGTGAACGTTTAAGACAGGTTGGCATGGAAACCAGGAGAAGTCAGATGAACATGACCAGTTCTGTACTCTCCAACACCAGTATGTGCTTTTAGATGGGATTTTAAGCCTGTTAAAACATTAAACAAATACATAATGCCTACAATTTATGAAAAGAACCAAATGAATAAATGCATTTTGTATGTCATTTGAAACACAAGATTCATTTTCAAAATTGATAATGAATGAGACTAGTGGGCGGGGTTTAGCACCACCTGTATTACTTTCCTCTAACCAGTAAAACAAATATGTTCTCTCTGAAAACTGAAAGGAAATGTATTTTAACCCATAATTATTATTATTATTTCTGTATTGTACTGCTTGCTTCCTCATATCCTTCATTCAAAATATTATTCATGTTAAACCTCAAGCGAGAGATACAAAATAAATATGGACAAATAGCTTTACTTCTACACAACTGTCTAAAAGAACAGTCGCTCTGTGGAATAATCTGCTATATTTCCTGAAAGTAGCATTTACCTGTAACACAGCAACCAGGCCTTTTTTGCTGAGACATCGATACTTATATATATATATATATATATATCGTATAAATTAGTATCTAGTATGGATGCTCATTCTGGTTTCAATTAATATCGAAGAATTGATTTATTTTATATTTCACAACCCTCCCATTGTGTGACTGTCATACTCGGTCTTGGCCACAAAATATTCCATGGCTAAACATAAATATAGTCATGGTAATGATACATTTCAGGTCATATGCCCTTCCAATTCAATTCCCTTATAAATGTGTACTTTTGGAGCTCACCATTGGTCCATTGTCTGGGGAGTATAGAATAGAGAGCTGTCTGTGTGATGGATCACTGGACAAACCCAGAGGACAGCTTCACACACTATGACCTCACTACAGCCACCCCACCCTCCCGGCCCTTCCACTGGTCTGAGAACCCAAAACCAGGGTCTCAGGTTCAACTCTCAACAGCCTCTCAACATCTGGAAAAGAGCCTACAGTCAGATCTTATAGGATCTGATGGACTTTCCATGTTGACTACTGAAAAATGTACCGTAGGTAAAGAATAAAAAGTCACATTTGGATTAAGAAACGAACCCAAGCCAACTCCTGCTATGATTTGACAAATATCATAATGCACATTGTAGCAGCGTGGTCAAATATTTCACTGAATTATATTTACAACAAGAGACATAAGGTTTGCAGCAGTATCACTGTCTTATTTTGAATATTACAACTTAATATATGGAAGGGAAAGGTACACTATAGTAGAGCTCCAATGTCTCATCAAGTAAATGGAATGAATCGATACAGAAACATTTGTATCCGATAAACACAAACCTGAGGCAAACACAGTGGTACAGGCCACACACTGTACACCTACACATTCTTCACTGCTTCAGGAGAGTCTTTGTTTGCACACTTCTGTCTTTTACACAAATCTGTGTGATTCTATCTATGACAAATGTGACATGTAAATATCTCCTGTGTGAGATTAATAAAGCCTATTTTATTTTATCTTAACCTGGTTGTACCACATCATAGTACAAATGACATTTCATACTAAGGTCTGGAGGTGCTCCATTAGTAAGTAAGTAAGTAAGTAAGTTTTTATTTATATACCGCCTTTTCACTGCAGATCTGAGTCTCAAAGCGGTTTACCATTGAGCTCCGTGAACAGGTGGGAGAGGTTAACTCCTTTTGCAGATTGAAACGATTGGATCTGAGTTTACCGTGACATATGTAGTCTGTTGTTAGCATTTAGACTTTAGCCTAGCCATCTCCTTTGCTGCTAACGGAGCCCGTGGGGCATAGCGCCACAATTTTTTCCAGCGATTACATTTGCTAAACATTCCTCTTGCTCCGGCTTCAATTTCTTGATAGAACCAGACCGGATTACTTTACTATCGCATTTTTCGCCATTACCAAACTACAACCTTCCCGTTCTACGCAAACTCTTAACATCACCCACAACTAACTACAACACCCGCCTTCCTCGCTCGCTGATTGGTCGGTCGAAATTCAACCGATTGCAATCGATAACACAGGGACCAGACCCAGACGTTACATGCAGTGAAATGATGATTGAACGGAGTGTACAGATGGCTATGGCCAGGCTAATCTTATCTAATCCTTTTCGTCTCAAAGTGGGGACATTTCAGTAATGACACCAGTGACAACAAACTCACTTTTCTAATTACTATGAAACACACATTTAAATAACTCATGTACCGTCACCTAAACATCTGTACATCATGTAGATGTCCATAGTTTATTGAGGACAATGTGCAGTTACATTAAAGTTACAGTAAAGCACCAGTCTGCTCCTGATTAAAGCAGAATCCACAGTTTTTCCTCATGAGTTAGGGAGTGTAACTATTTACATGATTCCTTGTAGTAATATTTACAAGAAGCACATTTATATTTTTTCAGAACATTAACTTCTGGTAAGTCTCACACCCACATCTTTGTCATTTCAATTATCTGCTTTCATAACGGACCAGGAGCCTGAGGGCCACACTCCTGAACCAAAAGCTACAGCAGAAGTAAACACATGAAGCTACAGAGCAAAACACATCACACCAACATGCTTCTTCAAATAAGCAGCTCTGTGACGTCCGAACCGTGTTCAACGACTAAAACAACTGTTTGATTTAGATGGATGTCAGCAGAGGTTTTAGAGCGACAATGGAGTGGAACCAGGAAATGGGCCGGGCAGTCCTCAGAAACAAACGTGCAGAACATTCTTGATGGATGTTTAGCAGACAATAAGTTTGTTTTCAAGATAAAATCAGTTACTAGATTGTAAACAATGTGAAAAATCAAATCAGATAATTGTCAATATTCTTGGACAGGGGTCTCAAACCTGTGGCTCAGGAGCTACCATGAGCTCCCCAGCACATTTTAGGTATAGCTCCCCAAAGGATTAATGGATATATATTGAGTCATTACATATATTTAAGTATAAATATAGGGTTATCCAGTACTATGGTATTTTTTACATCTTTTCATGTTTTGACATATATAGACAACATGGAGGTTTTGAGAAAGGTTGGAGACCTCTGCCCCTAGGATCTCACTTATAACTCATCCTTAAGCTTAAGAGACCAGTCAGTGGAAAAGCTCAAAGTGACGACATGACGCATTTCTGTCCAAACACAATCACTTTTATTTTCAGGCTAAAATCCACTTGGAGCAGCGCTGCCCAGACGCTGTGACCGCAACACGTCTGCTTTGTTTGCAGCAACACTGACCAACTTAAATTAGTTTTATTTTTCCAACCGGCCTCAATGGACTCTATATACTCTTGTGTCGAGTTTGGAAAATCAAATCAGCCAACACATAAAGCAGAAGTCATAAATCTTTTGAGCAATCTCTCCTTGTCATCTTGTGTTATGGCAGAAACAGACCACCGTGCTTTGGGAGCCACCTGTCACGGACCATTGGATGCTGATGACACAGATACTGTATCGGGGCCCAGCACTGACACTTTCTGTCCGAGGCGCTGCAGGGAAAGGCTTCTATGAGGAAGTTACGACCCAAAAGCTTAACACAGTGACAGACGTTATTATTGGAGACTGTTTCTGACTCTTATGAAATGTACACGGCAAAAAGTGATGAAAAATAAGTCAAAAAATTGCTCAGATTCATGTATTGCCAAATGTATGTTAATTTGAACACATTTTGACTGACTTTAAACAAGACTTACCGATATGGGACAAGCAAAATTATCTTGTTTTAACAAAGATACGAGAAATGAGAAAAAAAATGCAACAGTTCTAGAAATAATTTTCCCATAGGCAAATCATGTTTTAAGACAGTCAGAATGCATTAAAAATAAGATTTTTTTAAAAACTTCCTAGTTCATCTACATGTATGTTTGCAGTATTCTCAGCTCAGCAATCAGAAAAAAAAAAAAATCAAGATGTTATTTTTTTTGCTCATGCATGACCAGCGGCTATTTTTTGAAAGGCAAATAAACAGTGGTGAAGTTCATCGGCTCAGTTCTTTTTTTTTACAAAATGTGTGAGATTTCTGTTTAATTGAGTTTGAGCGAAGTTGAGATCACGTTTTATTTTTGCCACAGCCCTACTTAGACAAAATTCAACTCAAAATGCAACTAGATTTGTTGTACTTATCGGTGACTTTTAGCTTTTAGCCAAATTACCACACCGTTCCCTCCTCTAAAAGCATACCTGAAGTCGTTTTTAGCTGCAGCCGCTCCACCCGCTCCAAATTAATATCAGTAACGACTCATTCTGTCTTTCAGCGCTGTAAGATATGACCAATCCTCAGACTAGGGCGTCATGGAAGAACATAAAAAGTAGCCATTGAGAAACGGGAAAGAAAGCTAGAAGCATCATCTTGAATCTTGGTAAAAACAGATACAGCCGCCAATATGCTGATACAATACAATACAATACACAATACAATACAATACAATACAATTTATTCTTGTATAGCCCTAGGTCACAACAGAAGTCATCTCAGAGGACTTAACAAAACCATTGAAATCACCAACACAGATCAGAGAATCAACAGTTAAAACACATGGAGAATATAAAGCACACACAGAAGAAAATGTCCATACATGTTGTAGAATGCTAAAGTGTCCTGATCATCACCAATCCTTTCTGTTGGACACTAACTGTCCAACAAGACCCTCCTGCATCGACAAGGAAAAATAATCACCATAATAAAAAAAAACATATTCACTAGAACATGCATTACCATAATCTAATAAACTGTCTTATTTGTATTACTCCTAACAAGTAAACCAGCTCTTTCAAGTAGAAGAAAATCCATTTAGGAACGAAAACACAGAGAGAAATCCATTACAGACACATTAGTGAAATGAGATGAAAATAAATGTTGTATTTCTGCCCAACGCTGGCAAAGGCCCTGTTTACTTTTCCACATTCATCAAAAGAATGGCTGTAGCACTCGCAGCACGCAGCAGCCAATTAGAGCCGTGCTTTATAAGACCATTACCAGCACTGAACCGAGCCAGACCCACTCACGTTACACCTGGGACTGGGCTCGTGAGGCAGACCAGCTCCACACACACACACACACACACACACACACACACACACACACACACACACACACACACACACACACACACACACACACACACACACACACACACACACACACACACACACACACACACACACACACACACACACACACACACACACACACACACACAACTTATGGCTAAGAATAGCAGGAATTTTCCAAGTAACTTCTCTGGTGAAAAAAAAAGGCTTTACAACTATAGGCCTGTCGTAACAGTTATTATGTTGTGGTCAAACTTATTTATGTTTCTCTCGCAAAATGGTGTCTCGCTGTGAAAAATATACAGTGCAACATACTCGAGGTTTCTTCCGTCGACTGGGGCTGTGAGATTAATCGCAAATGAATGAAAAACTGCAAATAATGACATGTTTGAAACAGGGATAGATTATGTGAAGTTGAAGAGTAGGTGAGCCAAATGCTGCACAGGCTTTCAGTGCACTGCAAAAAGTGATAAAAAATGAGTTAAAAATTGCTCAAATTTGGCCAAATATACAAGAAATATCTCTCTTAGAATGAGTAAAAAAACTGTTCTTGAAATAGGACTAAATGGCTTTGTCCTATTGGCAAATCTTGGAGGATTTTTTTACTTCCGGGTGGATCATCAAGATTATTGGTCCTCCCGATTGTCAATCATTCTGGTGATACGTGCTCGTCCAATAAGACCAGAGAAGAAAAAGTGGAAAGGGTGGTTCTTTCCTAAAATTTGGGGAAATCCTGCTATATACACCTTGAAGATAAAAACCATTTGATTTAAGCATTTATTACTTTATAATTTTTTGCAGTGTATTGTATTGTAAGTGCTCTAGGGGAATGAAAATCTAAGGCACAACAGCCAGGTGTAGTAATTTATGGTTTTGATGCCTGCAGCACAACACGTCTTTTCACCACAGGGAAGACAGTGTGGCAAAATAAAAATAAAAAGAGTCAAAACAAACTTCAGATCAGGAGCAGAGGGAATCGCATTAGTATGGCCGACGGCAAGATCATCATCCACACGGAGCACTAGAAACATATTCAACTATTCTTTTTCACAAGGACAAGTTTTACAGAAGAATGAGCAGCGCATGTGATCGCACAAAAGTTGATGGTATGAGCTTCACTGGTGACGCACAACTTGTTATGTGCTGAACTTGTGTGTAGTTAAACTTTTATAACCGCCGCTTAACCCAGTTTGGTTTTATTGTGGACTAAATAAGCACTATATTTGGTCACACTGAACACGCCTCCGCAAAACGACTACCACGCAGGGCCGGTTTAATGTCTGGTTCTGACAGGGCAGCCCAGGAAGTTTAGTGCGTAAGAAAGAGGAGAAAAAAATCATCCATCAATAGGAAAAATGTTGTGCTTATTCAATTATTAAAGTAAATTTTCATGATATCTCTTTGTCAAAGTCAAATGTAGTTGAGAGACCAGAGAGAGACTACAGAGAGAGACTACAGAGAGAGACTACAGAGAGAGAGACCACAGAGAGACCACAGACGCCAGAGAGAGAGATCAGAGAGAGAGACTAGAGAGAGACCAGAGAGAGCAGAGTGGGACCAGAGAGAGAGCAGAGAGACTAGAGAGAGAGACTAGAGAGAGACCAGAAAGAGACCAGAGAGAGACCAGAGACAGCAGAGAGAGAGAGATCAGAGAGAAATACTAGAGAGAGAATAGCGAGAGAACAGAGAGAGAGACCAGAGAGAAAGACTAGAGAGAGACACCCGAGAGATGACCAGAGCTGATGTAAGTACAATATAAGTCGTAGGGGCACGCATATATATATATATATACATATATAACCGCCCGCGGAGGGCCAAAGGTGAGTGGACAATTTTATATATATAGATAGTAAAATTATTTTTATTTTTAGCAATATTTAAATATGTGGCTGTGTAAAAGCATCGACAACAGCAGTTCAGGCCTGTACTCCCTGACCGTTTAGAGGGACAGTTGGCATTCTGGGCTCAATGTTGTGAAATGGTAAAAATGTCCATAATTGAATAATACTGTACATCCCCTTTACATCCTGACACTGTTACACAAAGGGTTGACATTTACGGCGTCTGTGTAATCTACCTTCAACCTGAGCTCAGAGCGAAAACACCAAATCCCAGAGTCAACATTTACTCAGTGGACTCAGAGGATCCTCGCGGAAATCCTCATATCTCACACTAACACAAGACGCAGCGTATTCCAGAGCGGCTTTATAAAACTGAAGCTGCTAACGACAAATCTTACACGTAAAAAATCACACATTGGCGTCGACGCACAAAGCTACCATGACTGACCTCAGGAGCCGCGTCCGCTGACCAGGAGGCCTCCAGCTGGTTTTGCACATCGTTTGTTCTTGTTTGACCCTGAGAAAGTAAAAAAAACATTATGTTTTTGTCCATGTTTATACAGTATTGTGCTTCCTGGAACGCTATAATTCAATTCTAGTACGGATTAGTTTATGATGACATATTCAGAAAGATTTTCCCCAAACCACTTATGTAGCACACACACACAAACTAGTTTCTGAAGTTCTGCAATGTATTAAAAATAGCAGAACTACCTATATAACACACAACAATGTATTCAATTCTATATAATGAATAAAGAGAGAGCCCATTTGATTTTAACTATATTTTTCATTAGTAGAAGTGAACATGTGTAAACAAATCAGGGTTAGGGTTAGCAGGCTGTTTTCATCTTCACAGAGCCCTGCGAGTCACTGTTTGACACTTGAGGAAAGGGTGGTCCTCTCTTTTTCACATTTCTGTCAGAAAAAAAAACGATCTAAAAATGGCCAAAAATACATGCACGTGAAAACTTTTGATAGAGCAAAGCAAAAGAAATGGCTGAGATAGACTTCATAGTTAATTTGCTGTGGTTTGAAAGTTAGGTACACCAGCTTTAATCTTTCCAATTGCATAAGCTTTATAAGTCAAGTCCAGAAAAATCATCAAATATTTGTTTTCCACATATTTAAAGAGTAGCATTACTTTTGGAGTAGATCTAATCCACAATACCTAAAATACCATAAATATAATGTTCCAATTCCATAACTGAAGACACACAACAGCCTTGAACAGTTGTTTCAGTTTGGCCTTTTAAATACAGACCTTGAACATACATAATCACATAGATATATACATTTGCCTCTTCATCCAGTGTTGCATAAGTTACAGAACAATAGGAATGAGGACCACACAGCACAGGATAAATAGCTGGGAAAAGTGTCATGAAATACCTGGTGAAGCCCTAGAACCTGCTGCACCACGGCACCAGCCTGCAGAACGTACTGGTGAAGCCTCCTCTGGCTCTGGACCTCCGTGAGTTTGACTTGGCTCTGGGCTCTGGAGGTCTGTGCCATGAGCCGCTGCTCCCTGCGCGCCCAGCCGAGCCTCTCCATCCGCGCCTGGTGCTCTTGAGCCGCGCTCCGGTCCAGCAGCGCGTCGGCCAGAGCGCGCAGAGCCTCCACGCAGCAGTGCTCCTCCGGGCGTGAGGCGGACAGGGGCAGCCCGCATCCTCCAGGGCACACCGGGGAACCGCAGGACTCTGTGTCGAGCCGTGGGTCCATGTTTTTATTTTACAAGTCAAAAAAGCTGGAGCGTGTTTGAAGCGTGGTGCAGGAGACGCATGCTGTGGAGAGACGGTCAGTGCGTGAGCAAAAGTTTTGTCTACTCTGAGCACGTGAGGGAGAGGAAAGTTTAAGCAGGAGTTTTTCAAGGTAGTGCGCCCCCCTGTGGAGATGAGAGGAACTACCACCACACAGGATCTGCCAAAGTAAACAATAAACAGCCATTTTTTTTACTTGAGTGTGTTTTATTCTTCATAATCTTAGCTTCTGTTACCCCACGATTCCTAAGCCTTTTTATATGGATGCAATATCACAAATACCAAAGCTACAAATGATCAATTTAGAGGTTTTTTTCCCAACAAGCCTTTCTTCCTCACATTCTATAAGGAACTCCTGTGTCTCCTTTCCTCCTCTATGAGCTTTATAGAAATGAAACCTGCAGTGAAACTCAAAGACATAGTCAATCATCTAAAGCTGTCAGACTGTTTTTAGTTTAAAGTTATAAAATATCGAAGACAACCCAGAATAAAAAATGTAATAATTATTAATTCTGTTTTGTACTTGGTGGAGCAAAGTATAGTATAATATGTAAAAAATGTTCTTTTTGTTAAATAGAAAAAAGGCCTTATCTATATTTAAATTAATCTGAATTTTAAAAGTGTATTTCATTTGTGTCAAATAATTTATTGTAGTTTGTGTGGTGGAGAAGTCTCGCTTTTATGTAATACAGCAACTCTCCAGCAGATGTCTTTAAAGAATGTGATGTTTTGATTTTCTCGACAATGTCATAATTTTCATCTATTTTATTTATTACACATTTTGTGTTTTATTTTCTAAATAATGTGGAAAAAACATAGTATCTGTCTACTGTATACATATGGTCAGAGGGTGAAGGGGATTTCCTTTCTTATAATAATTCACATAATTCACATTATAAAATGTTTGGGCTTTTATGTGACATGAGTTTCACTTTTATTTTCTGGTTGATTTTTCTGAGAAACATATATTTGTTTACTGTTTAGATTCAACCAACACTGGACCAGATATAAAAGGAAACACATTGTTTTATATTTAACTATTTAACTTTTAAACTTATAACTATGTTGTGTTGGGTTAGAATTTTAGAATAAATTAAATTTGGTCGTTTTCCTGAGAAAATAGATTATGTAACATGCATTGGTAGCCCATTTCCACCAATGCGCAAGTTAATAATAATAATTGAAAATAATTTTAGGGGCCACTAAAAATTGTCCCAAAATGTGTTCCACAAGCCTGAGTTTGACGTGATTGGCTCAGACCTGTTCCTGGGCAGCTCCCATTTATCATCATCACAAAAAACAGCAACTATTATTTCACAGAGAAGTGTGAACGCATTCCTCCATTGGATCCTATAACTTTACCTCTGGGTGTATTAAATTATATGTAATACATGTATGCTGGAGCTCTTCTGTTACTGATCCCAGGTCAGTCCCAGGACTCCTGACACATGACATATGACAGACCCTCACACACGAGGTCACGTTTCACCTTTTCTCTCAGATCTGCCCCCTTTGGTACAGGAGTGTGTTTTGTGTTGTCTGCGCTGTCACTGAACAGGTGTCGATTTCACAAAGAGCAAAGAACAAACTGTCTGCACCCATGGGAGCCGCTCAGAGAGGAGTCTTTACAAGTCGGATGTGGAGTGGCTGTACCTACAAAGTCTGCTGGAATGGAAGGCAAATCACTGCAAATATTATTAAATATGAGGTAATAAATGCTTAATTAATACACTTTAAATATAGACAGACTTTAAAACAGCTTGAGTACAAGTCTCTCCATGGCCTCACACCAGAGTACATCAGTGACATGTTAAGTCCCATATGAACCGGCCCGGACTCTGAGGAGCACAGGGACTGGACTCCTGTTAGTGCCCAGAGTCAGAACTAAACATGGGGAGACAGCCATTCAGATTCATGCTGCTAAAATCTGGAACAATCTTCCTGAAAATGTGAGATACAGGCTTCTTCTCTGACAATGTTCAAATCCTGGTTAAAACCAGTTCTGTTTTGCTGCACATATAACGGAGGGATTTTTTTCCCCTTTCTTTTGAATGTACCGTGAGTATTATGATTTGAATGCCTTTTGTTCTGCACTTTGAGTTGTCTTGTGTATGAATTGTGCGATACAAATAAACTGGCCCTGCATTAAATTAGTCTTATTTCTAGAACTGTTGCACTTTTTTTCTCATTCTAATTTCTTGCATCTTTTTAAAACAATTAAGCTTGTTCCATTGTTTTATTGCAGTCTGACACAGTCCTCCACCGTTAGTAAAACTTCAATACGACACTGAACTCAAAGTGAGTTGTCAAGGTTCCATTTGGTAGAACTGATCTTTTCTTTCTGTTGTCAAATTTAAAACCTGTATTTTTGGCCTCTGCTTTTTTAGACAGCAAAGTGAAAAAACTCTCAGCCCAAAGTGTCAAATAGTGACTAACTGGGCTCTTTCTTTCAAGTATGTGAAAGAACAAGAAAAAGAATGTTTTCTAATACGATTAAGATTAAGACAGTGTGTACATCTGATTTCTTAAAATGGGATAAACAAAATGTGTTAGTATGAAAATGGAATAGTTAGGTACCTCAGCTTTAACATCTGCTAACTGTGTCTGTTAAAATGTATTGCCATCTGTTGCCACCATGCGGACACTCTCGCTTCTCAGCAAGAAGGTCCTGGGTTCGAATCCCAGTCGGGACAGGGCCTTTCTGTGTGGAGTTTGCATGTTCTCCCAGTGTCTGCGTAGGTTTCCTTGGGTGCTCCGGTTTCCCCTACCACAAAAAAACATGCACAATAGGTATGAATCTGGCTGGAACAAAATCTGAACTCTGGACCTTCTAAAGACCTTAGTCCATAGACGTCGGAACTAGGGGTGCGGGGGGTGCGGCCGCACCCCCTGGTGCGGCCGCACCCCCTCCGCGTGTGCCGGGAGCGAGAAGTTATCACTATCCTGCGTTCCTTGCAGCCCAAAACCCGCTCCATGCTGTCGGAGGTGCTTATGAAGCTCTGTCTGGCTAATATCTGTCGCAGCCTCTGAGCGCTCTTTCTCAGCCTTGCGCAGATTAAAGACCTGGCTACACCAGTGACGTGCGGTGGGGGATCAATCATTTGTTCATATGATTATACATCATATAAACCAACAGGACCTACAGGAACAGGAGCGGCTTATACACAATTTGTTTGGCTACAGCAGAATATGATTTAATGTCTGCATAGTTTTCTCATACAAAACGCAAACGTTTGTAAAAAGTACAAAGTGTGTTATGGGCCTTATACCTTAGGTGTTAATGAACAGCACAGACCACTTCAGTTAGGACCAGTTTCATGTTTAAGTCCAGATAATAGTTTGAGCACAGACATGTAATCCTCCATTTGGAAATAAGTTCAATGAGTTTTAAAAAGTAAAAAAAAACGGGTGTCTCCTCCGTAAACTGCGAGTTTTGCTGCAGCCGACTCCCGGGTAAATCCAATTTCTAAATTCAACCTTACCCTTCACCTCTTTTTCTTATGATTCATATCATCATTGGAAGCAAAACATTACTCTAAGTGCATTTTAAATTATCTTAAAATGTATTATAGGTATGTTAGCCAAACCTGTAGCTGCCCTTAGCAGAAGAAGAACAAGAAAGGAGCTTTCTGATGGAATTGGATGCAGCCAAAGTTTGGGCTCACAAGCGCCCCCTTGAGGCTTTCCTCACTTACAAGCTGTGGTTGAGCGCGATTAAGACCCATATTTGCTTCAAAAACACAATTTATGAGCCATCCTCTTAAATGTAAACATGTTGATTGTAAATTAAATATTTTTGAACTTTTTAAACTGTGATAAACAGAGAAAACAGTTTGATAGCACCTCACAGGACTCTCCCTGTGAGCTGTTGCTTTTTACGTCTCCCAAGAGAGGCTTGCCTCACAGCGCCGCTCTGTCAAATCTGCGATTTCAAGGTATAAATAAATTAAATAAGGCACAGCACAAATCACTTGATAAAGTGACCAAACATTATTGTATCCATTATATTACTTTTCTTTCTATGATCTTAGGTGAGGGCCTTACCTGCCTCATCTGACCGCACGTCACTGGGCTACACAACACAATGAAGCCACCGGAGAGACTGACGCATGAATGCGTATTGAAAAAAAAAAAGTTCAGTTTGATAAGTGACTTGCTTGATATATATTGTTTATTTTTTTTAACAATTAAGATGGTATGTTATTATCCAGTGTAATCCAAGTATGAGTCTCTCCCTCGACTCTCCCAACAAAAACCCGCCCCCCCTCTCAGAAAATAGTTCCGACGTCCATGCCTTAGTCAGTAAAAATGTGCAGTATAATTAATCAAGTTTAATAAAGATGACTTACTTACCTGAATATCTAGCCTGGTCGTACCACACCACAGTATAAATTACCTTTCGTACTAAGGTCTGGAGGTGCTCCATTGAGCTCCGTTAAAAGGTGGGAGGGGTTAACTCCTTTTTCAGATTGAAATGATTGGATCTGAGTTTACCGTCACATATGGAATGCGCTCGTTTGAGTCATTAGACTTTAGCCTAGCCATCTCCTTTACCGCTAACAGAGCCGGTGGGGAGTAGCGCCACAATCCTTGCCAGCGAATACATTCTCTAAACATTCCTCTTGCTCCGGCTTCAATTTCTTGATAGAACCAGACCGGATAAGTCTACTATCGCATTCTTCGCCATTGCCAAACTACAACCTGCTAATTCGGCACAAACTCTTGACGTCACCCACATCTAACTACAACACCCGCCTCCCGCGCTTGCTCATTGGTCGGATGGAATTCAACAGATTGTAATCGCAAACACTGGGACCAGATCCAGACATGATTAGATGCAGGGAAAGGATGATTGAGCGGAGTGTAGGGATGGCTAAGGCCAGGCTTCCTGAATATCTAGTGCCTTGAGCTTTCCACACAAAATAAATCAGACATTCAATAGTTAACTACACCTTTATTGTATTTTATCCAGTCTTTTCCCTCATTGAGTTCATGTCCTCTCAGTCTTTGCCACATAAGGATGCCCCCCAATTTCAGACACACGGCAGGATTGGGTTATTGAGGCTTTCCCAAAAAAACTTTTATTTTTTTTCTTCCCCTTCTTTGAGCTAATGCACAGTAGGTTCAAGTCTATAGCATTTCTGATGTAAAGGGACGTCACCCCACACTAATGTTGTTGGTCCTTTTGAATGGCTGCTAACAGGATGTCAGTTGGAGAGTAAATGGACCGTCTTTATCCAGTGTCATGCATGTTACAAATTCAGAACCACTGCTGTATCAAGGCGTTCATGCATTTGGCAACTGATTTCAAAATGATTGGTTGCATGAAGAAGAAACTGGGGGAAAGCACTTTGCGGTGGTGGCTGATGCTGCTATTGTTGCATGGAGAGACACGAGACCAGCATCAGTTAAATGTAATTGAAAAAACGGCATTGAAAAAACGCAGCATTGTTTTTCCTCTACTGAGGGTAATGACAGACGACCATTATGGGTAATCATGACAAAGAAATATAATGTCTGTTATGGGTAAACGGCTTAAAAAGTGGGAACATAGTGTTAGAAAAAAAATACAAAATTACTGTATGACTTGCATTTTACAGCTAACTCAAATGGCTTCGCTCACATAAGCTTTTGTCAAATAAAAAAAAAAAGGTACAAGATTGCGGTTAAAAGAGCTAGGCAAGTTGTCTCAATACAAATATAAAATTGCCACAGATAAGCGGACATTGCACGATTACTTTGGGGGCATATGAGTGTCCCTATGATACCTCCTAAATAGTGAATCTCTCACACGAATAATTAAAGGATATAAATGTGTTAACATATGCAAAATAAATGACAACATTCATGAAAGCACCTGTTGGTAGAGAGTTGTGGTCCAGGCCATATGGTCAAAGCAACCATGGAAATACACTATTTTTCTTGAGACAATAACTCAATTCCGGTTACAATTCTTTGCATACAGCTCAGTTTGAGTTAAAGCTGGAGTGTCTAACTTTGGAACCACAAGAACATAATAAAAATCCATGAAACTAGTTCCTCATTCTCGAAACTGTCAATAGATTTCACATAAATGCATGTATTTAAGGCCTTTAGATCACCTTCACACAGAAAAGTGGAAAACAGGGACCATCCTCACTCAGCCAATCAGCAATCAGTATGTATAACGTCTACTAAGATAAAGAATGGTCTGATTTCCCAAATTTTCAAAAGATTTCATAAAATATAAAAAAATCATTATTACTGTTGGGACAAACAAAATATATTTATGAAATATATAAATAAAGTTAGTTACTCCAGCTTTAAGACCATACACCAAACACAATTGATACTTTTAGCTGTTACCAAAGCTAATCGGAATTTCACATACGTATTTTACAAGTACCACTACGGAACTAAAACTATACCATTTCAAATCCATTGTTTATCCAGGGCCGGATTGTGAGCAGTCTGAGCAGAAATGACCAGACTTCCCTCTCCACACTTCCCCACCAGCTCATCTGTTCCCAGACCAGCTGAGAGACATAGTCCCTCCCTCCAGAGTGTATTCAACAATTTAGCATTTTATAAATTCTTATTCAGTTGTGGTATTTGCTTTGACTGTATGGCTGTGACCAAGGTGCCTCATCGTAGAAGTGAACATGTGAGAATGCCACTGAAAGAAAAGAACAAATTTACAAAGTCATACACTTATCCTTCACAGTTCCTTGATTCGCACAAAAACGTTTAATGCAGAGAAAAGATGTCTTTGAACGCACACAAACATCTCCACTCACGGTCCATCCAGGAACAAGTCAATGTGAAAGATAAGTGCATCCATTGATATAAGGCATATTTAAAGTTGACTCTCCCTCTGCCTCTGAGATTTTAAATAACGGTTCATTTGTTCCTTATTTGGGAGTTTTCCGCTCTTGAGTAAGGGCAGGAGAGTTGCTTTATGTGGCGTCCCGTTAACAAGGTTGAACCGGCAGATCGTTCGGAGGTCCCTTAGTCCCCTCAGGAGGCGTCGGCCATAAAGAGCGTCCTTCACGGAGAAGAGAGTCCAGAGATGGTGCTACATTCAAAGGTTTAGGCAGAGCAGAGCCACTGGGAGCAGGGGGAATAAGAGAAGCGACTGCAGGGCCATGGCGTGTCCACCTGGAGACACAGAGAGAGTGTTGTTGTCAAAGGATTGAGGTTTCAAAGCACTTTATTATACAACCACTATTTTCGATCCAAATGATTACCGCACTCTACTTCAAAGGTAAAAAATATAACAGATGTATGACTCTATAGTTGTTTTGTTATTGATTTGAATGATAATTTGGATTTTACAGCCGAAACATAAGTTAACCCTTAAGTAGCAGCACAGCAGACAACCAGGGATAAAATTGTATCATAGTACAGAGACAGACCTATCTAAGTTTTTAATGATCTTCTTTTAACCACCGACAGAGGAGAGCGCTCTATTTTATTTATTTCTATTGGAATGCCTCAAAAAGTGGGTTGGCATGAGAGATACTGCACTTGGTTGGTTTTAGTCTTATCATTTAGACAGAACATTTGCGGCCTCCATGGGTAATTGTATCTACTAAACAGCCCCCATTACCTGTGGTGTGCCGCAAGGTTCTATTTTAGGTCCCATTGTATTTTCACATGCAAACCCACACTCCCTTCCCCTTTAACCTCGGTGTCATGTTTGATACTTCACCTTCCGCTCCCACATCAAACAAACCACCAAATCCTGCTTCTTCCACCTCCGCACCATCTCCAAGATAAAAAAAATGCTGACTCCTTCGAATCTTAAAGTAGTTAACGGCCTCATCTCCTCCCGCCTCGATTACTGTAACTCCCTCCTATCTGGTGTCGATTCCAAATCCCTCTCCCGCCTCCAACTGGTTCAGAACGCAGCAGCCAGACTTCAGAAGGGAGCACATCACCCCTGTTTTAGCATTCCTCCACAGGCCACCACCTTCTAAAGCGCCTAAAGGGTTAACCCATCCTCCAAACTTTCCAGACATCTTTCTCTGTTTTATTCTGACACTGGCGCTAAGGGACTACTGCAATGACTTCCATACTCACATATCTTGACAAAGAACTACAATCAACAATATTCAACTTGATGGAGAACACAATCCCGTTCCCAACATCTGCTTCAATTCCCAGCTCCATAAATCACCCTAAACCCCATTACAAAGATGTAACGCAGTGATACGCCGGTGGAAATCATCCAAAATGCCACCCATTTGTCAGCGTCCTGCCTCTTTACCCTCTGTGAAATGGAGCTGTCGGTGGCTGTGCTCTGCCTGATAAGACCCCAACCACGCTGACCACACATATACAGGGTTTCCTCTCCCCATCAAGATCAATTACAGGGGCTTAGGATCCCCCCCCCCCCCCCAGCAGCCGGCTCCAACTGTCGGTCCACGGCAGAGGATGGAGACCTTTAGCAGCCGATCAAAGCTTTAGACACGCATGGTGAAGCCTCTGCTCTCAGCTCTGTACTGGGGGGAGTTCTGTGCCACACCTCGAGAGCTGGAGCCAATTTCAGACCACAGATATCCACAATGATAGTCTCCATGTGAGATTTGAAGATCTGAGGTATATGATGTTGTATAAATAATAATAGTAATAATAATACATTTCCAACATATTTAACCCTTTTAACTCCTTGAAAAAAGCAATGTAATTTGTTTGTATTTTCTAAGATGTAGAGGCACAAATAAATCAAATTATTTGTTTTTTAAGTTTTTGTTTTTTGTACCCATTTTTTATGATAGGCCTGATGGTAAAAGTGACTAAAACCAAGAGTGATGCCCCAAGTGAGAAGAGGTGTATTTCAGTTCCAAGCATCCAAGTAGACATATTGACTCAAAAGGTGCTATACCAACTGGTTAAGGAAAGCCTAAATAAGGTTTAAATGCAATGATAAGAAAAAAACAACAACATTTACACATTTCCTTAAGTCATATAGTGTACATCAGTGGTTCTCAACTAGTGTGTAATGGTTTTGGTTTATTTCCTGTCTTATTTTTACATTTGTTACCCCTTGTGTCTTCTTTAGTTGTACTTCCTGTTTCCTGATTACATGCCCCGCCCTCATTAGTCTCACCTGTGTCTCGTTAGTCTTGTTTTCAAACCCTGTGTGTTCTTTCACTCCTCGTCTGTTTCAGTTCTTGTCCTTGTTCCCGGTTTGGTTACGTTTTGTGGTGTTTTCGTTGGATTTTGATTTGTATAACTTTTTATTATATGACTTAGACCGTACACGCGCTCTGATTGGCTGATTACTGGTCTAATATTTTCCCATCTCAGACCGTTACCATGACAATTGGTCCGCAGCGCGTATCACAATTGATTTCTTTCCTGAGTTTCCTCGGTAAAAAAGAAATAATGGGCGACAACTGGGAGCATTCTCCCAGTGAATTCTATTATCCGGACGAGTTTGACGAGCCAGAGGAAGAAATTACAGAAAAGAACGAAGAAAAAATAACAAACAGACAAGATGAGATTGACAACTTTGTTGCAGACCAGAAAGCTAAAAACACGATTAGGAAAACCAAGTCGGAGATCGATATTTGCATAAATAAAAAATAGTCATATAATAAAACATTTATTAACCTCGCGCTCGGTTAATAGGCCGTTATTATTAAATCCCTTATTTTGTAGTTTCGCATTTTGGGTCCTCCTTGTTTTTCACTCACATGACAGTAGGCTACCTTTGGGGCTTCCTGGCCTACATTGGTCAAATATGTATCTACTAGACTGCAAAAAGACATAGAATAGAAAGAGAATAGAAAAGAGGAGAATTGAATAGAGACAGAATCTGGATTGCCCTTGATTTAAGAAAGTAATACTTATAAATGTGTCCATATTTTTGTTATATGTAAATGGAAGGAAAAGTTGAAATCCACTGGAAATTACATTACAACCTAATTTACTAAAACTTATCCCCTCAACAGAATTTCTTGATACTAGTTACTCAACTCAAAAACCAATTTACTTGTTTTATTGTAATTCTTGATCTATTTCCTTGATTCCAGAGTCTGGTGGAGCTAAGTAGAGTGTTCATGATTTTAGCTTTGTCATAGTGCTCAATGCTTACAAAACAATAATTTGTGACAACATACAGTATTGTACCTTATTTATATACTCATTTTAGTATATATATTGTTGTTATATTGTTTGTGGCTGGGCCTTTATGTTAAGAGATAGAGGCTTTATGTAGAATAGAGAAATTACAAGGATGGCTCAAAGTTTATGTAAAAATTTAATGTACCCATCTAATTTGCACATTAGAACTTCACATGGGGGTGTCAATCCTGGATTTTTTACTGAACTCACATTGTACCTTACTCAAGGGTCCCGGAAATCATTGTGTGCCGGGAGTTAGAATGAATTTTGACACCCTGCTTGACACAATCAGTCATTTTCAACAGTACTGCATATTGTCCACTTAAGTCAACCATGGCGCCTAGAGGGTTAAGTTGACACCGTTCCAGCTGAGAACCACTGGTTGACATGATATCATTTTTCTCCTCCTCATTCTGGCAACCTTACACCTGAAAACAGTTACTCTACAAGATCTAGATGAAATAGGAGACAGGAAATCTGTTTTATTTCAAAATAAATGCACAGTGTGTATATGAAGAGTAAATCATACTTAGGATTTCGACTTGTCCCACAGGTCCGTCCCCTCCGTCTGTGTGCGCCCGGACCTCCACCACGTAGTTACCGTCGCCGTGCACGGGGAGGTCAATGTAAAGTTTTTGGGTGTTAAACAAAATTCCTGCGGAGTGGCCAACTTTTCTATACAGCACCTAGAATCAGCAAAGAAAAAACAATTTATCATGAGAACATAATTTGTGAAGCATCAGAAACGTGACATTAGACTATAGACATGTACTTACTCTGTACTCATTCACCGGCGCCTCGTTTTCCTTTGGTTTCACACCCTCCCAGGAAATATTCACCATCCCCCTGTTAAATCTCTTTGCGATTTTAGGGGCTTGTCTAGGAGCTGAAAAATGAATAGAGATTAGGATTTAACGGCATAACAGCGTAATTCATACACAGGCCAACTCAAAATTGCTTTAGAAAACAAGGAAACATTAAAGTAATAAAACAAAAAGTGAAAGCTTACATATTCACAGTACATTCATTCATTTGCAATAATATCTTTCAGTTGTATTGCTGGGTTGCAACGGCGCAAAATTCCACTGAAGGACAGGAAGTAAATCTCTCCAGTAAGAACCATGTAAATCTACACTGATTCACATAAACACACCAGGAAGCAGGAATGTATGCAACAGGAGATCAGCCGTTGTTGATTGTGTCGTGTTTCTTCCGCTTCCGTCCCGATTTCGTATGATCTAGTGCTGACCGTCCCGTGGGGTGAGACAAGTGGGGGCGGGTCCCTGCTCAAATATGGCCAAAATGACGTGCGCTGACGTGCTTACAAAACCACCCCGGGCCGATGGGGGTGGATCCAGATTAAGAATTATTCAATGCTAGCATATAGCATTAGCAGACCTCTCAAAAACGTCTTTACAGGATGGTCCAAAAGTTGGCTCTTGGCCCAAAGCTCCGTTCCACATGTGTGTCAATGCTGAGGGGGGTGAATTTTTTTGGACCAGTTTAGTTTAGTCGCTGTGTAATATTGAAGGCACTCATTAAATGAATGGGGCCTGCGCCGGCTGATGCATGCATCACTGCGTTTTTTCACATTCTCCAGCCCCCGCAGCCATTTTGAAACTGCCCATAGAGCGCAGAAGTTGTGGCACGTTAGCTAGAATGGCGGAGATAGGCGTGACTACGTCCGTAAATTTACAGTCTATGGGTGAGACCTTTGAGACTACCACATACTGTAGGTGTGACCAAAAGTTACACTGCTACACTGATATGTATGAATCTAAGATTAAACCTCTGAAACAAGTGTATACAGTCGTAGGAAATTTATTATTTTTTTCCTACGAGAGACAATATTGCCAAGTTACACAAGTGATTGCTCCATTTCAGACATAGCAAATGAATAAATAACTGGATCGAATGAAGCAGTTCTTACGTGATTTTTTGGTGTGAATCTGAAGGGCTTCACTGGGAGGGCCGTATCCTGCTGAGTTGAATCCTCGGAGTTCTATGAAGTAGAGTGAGTCCGGTTTCAGTCCGTCCAGCCTGGTGTGGTTCTCCTTACTGGGCACTATCAGTGTATGATCTCGTTCCTCCGGGTCTTTATGAGTCCGCCAGAACCGCACCTGCCATGAACTAGCGTTAGGAGCTGAGATATTCATGATAAATTACATGTTTTTAGTTATCCTCACTCACCTGGTATCCGTCTATTGTGCTCTGATTGAGGCACACCCACCAGAAAACAGCCACTGTTGCGGACAGTGCTTTACCGCTTATTATCTGCGGAGCTTTCGACGGCACTGAGGGAATATAGACAAGGAAAATGGTATCACTATCAACTGATTAAAGAGATCATGAAGTCAAAAAAATACTTTGGAAAATATATTTAAAACAAAGGCAGGGAGAGACCATTATGAGAATGTCAAAACTGAATACAGAAATGCAGATTTACATTCAAAAATATGTTTAATGTCATTTTCTTAACCCTTTATGCGACAAAGCAGCAGAATTACAACAACTTTTATACTGGGACCAGACTTTCCATTTCCACAAGCATTTCCCAATTTATTTCTGTTATTGATTGCAGCAGTCCTTTTTCTTTGACAAAGTTTCAGGGCGTCAGCTTTTGTCGGTGTCATTTAAAACATAAACAAAATCTAGAAGCTATCCATCACTATTTTTGAATCTCAGCTCAGCAATAAAAAATAAGTTTTGCTCGTGAATAGAGAGACACAACACATCCTTCAAAGTGAATTACTTCCTTGTGGATATCCACGCTTCTATGTTCAGATAATCAGTTCTGCATGCTGCCTTTATTGTCATATTCCCCTGCAGTATGACCCATCTCCACAACGCAGAAAGCAGAAACAAGTTTTAATAGTGGAAGAATCGCATCGCCGTCGTGCCAAAGCGTGTATAATTGCGTCAGAAAACTGCAAAAACCGCTCGGCGATGGCTTAAGCACACAGCAGCGGCGCGCGGCCCATGCCCAGCAGGAGACAAAGACGATAAAACCATTGACACTGAAAGGGCAGGATCTCATCAGGGCGTTACCATGGAGACGGCGTATCAGGGTGCAGCATCAGGCCCGGGGTTCGCCTGCGGTTATCTCCTCCTGTCTGTCAGTGCGAGTTAATAACCAGGCTAAGTACTCGGCGTCCCCGGGCGAATGATCAGCCTCCCGGTTCTCGCTACATAGATCACGATAATCCTTGCGACGGAGGGAGGAGGAGGAGGAGGAAGAGCGAAAGCTGGCCTCACTTTTCAAGGAGCATTAGAATTCCACACTACACATGAGAGAGCGCCTATAAAACAGCTCTCAAAGCACCGAAAGCCTTGTAGCAGCTGATAAGTACGGCAATGATACAGTGTCAACACGAGAGGACAGAATCGTTATACCAACGCAGGTTAATCTTTGGATTTAGATTAATATTCAGGGGACGCTGTTTGCCTGCAGGGCTGTGGTGAGGAAGAAGAAATACTAGAATACTACCTCAACTACTTGAGGCTGCATATTCATAGAAGTCACACACTGCAATGGCACAGTTCAAGCCTAGTTATGGAAAGAATCCTCAAATAGTCCCTCAGTAGTATAAGGGTACTCTTCACCTTTGTCTACTTGTGTACGTATGTTTTATTTTATTGTATTGTCTTGTCTTTGTTCTTTTGTATTGTTGTTGAATGTTGATGTGTCTGTCTGTTTTGTTGTCATAATAAAAAAGTTTCAACTAAAAAAAGTAATATAAGGGTCCATAATAAGGAATGTCCGGGGTAAAAATCTGGTTGTTTGCTCATTATCTTGACTATTCACTAGTTTCCAAAGAGTACCCAGTAGGTTATAAGAAAGATAAGATAAATATCATGCAAAAAAACTAAAAAAAGAATCGCACTTCCATCATATTCATTCACTCCCTATGACAGATTTCTTTCATTTAAATTTGCTCTTAAACTGCATTTGTCAAATGAGAAGCTGGCAAAAATCAAACCGGATCTTGAAGCTGGAATCAATGTGAAAGTGGACGCCAGGTGGAAAGAGAACAATCCACCAAAATATAAATTGTGGCTGATTGATTTAATGCATCACTTTGCATTGGAGGAAAACAAGATTTTCCATGAACCACGCAGCCTAAATAGTGATTCAGTCAATGTATGTATTTTTACTTTGTTAAAGTGCTGCCAGAGCATAGGAAGGGATTCGGACATATCCATCAGCTGTTGACGTTACACATATTGTTGCACGTTTGCACAAATGGAACTTATCGAGGCCGTGAGACTTACCGACCTCATTTTCAGTTAACGCACGATAACTCAATAAATAGTTTATCGCGGCAGCCATAAATATAGCTGGTCCATTAAGTCCGGCAAGTACTGTATACATATTTTTTTCCAAATGTTTTTAAAATATTTAATGGTGCAACAGGTCAAGGTTTGTTCTTGGGATATAGACATAAAAAATGCAAACAAATATGAACTAAACCAACCAAAAAAAAAACGAATTATCAAAACTTATCGAGTGGGTTGTGGGTCGAGAGAGTTGTAAAGAAGTATTAATCAAATCAAAGTGGAAAAAACTCACTGTCCTGTGCAGAGAAGATGTTGGCGGTGGCGCTGTAGGGCCCCTCTCCTCTGCTGTTGAACGCTTTGACTTTGACCTGGAACTTGGTCATTGGAGGGATTCCGGAGTCTTTATGGACGTAGCGCTTGGCCTGGGGATCGGCCACCGTCACATACCTCCATTCATATGTGTGTGTTTGTTTGAAGGCCAGGATGTAGCCGAAGTTTGGTCCGAAGTAGTACTGCGGCTCCACGGGCTGAGGAGAAACAGAGAATGGGAATAGTTTGCAAAAAAACAGATAAGTGCTGGTATAAAAAAATATATATTTGAAAGGCGGGAAATTTGCCCATGTTCACCCTTTCTTGAGCAAATCCTTTAATTATACTGCCCTTAATAAAACATGTTGGAGATTATAGCTCAAGGAATAGAACTGTTTGACCATTTTTCAAAACGGAGATATCTGTTTTTTTGCAAATTAGCTCTTGTTTATATGTGTATGTGTGTATATAGTGTTTGTACATTGTTAAACATGCTAGTAATGCTTTTTAGTGAATCATTAGGTTGGTTAAAATGTGCTTTATAAACACAGTGGATCACCTTTAAATGTGATGAATAAAAGGTTACTGGTTACTGAGGTACTGAAAGTGCAACCCAGTAAAAAGTAGTCAATTTTACACTAAAACTAAGAATAAATTATGGTAAATATTGATGGTATTGAAGTAAATTGTGTCATGATTTATGTGTCTTTTTTTATACCATTGTTTTATTTTTATTTATTTTTTTTACTATGGAGAAGGAATGACTCGGGACACTTATGAAAATGTGTGTATATCGTTTAATTATTGTTTTATTTTATAATCTGTTGTCGCCAAATCAACAGTTCTGTGATGCCCTTCGAGATTTACAACAAAAAAATAATTTGACTTGAATTCTATACATTTTTCCTTCCTCCCACTCCTTTTTGTGTTTGAGTCATGTACACTACTATAATAAGTAATTGTTAATGAATTATATGTAGTGTCATTTGATAATACTGTTTAATGTACAATGAACTAGAAATATAAAAGCTCTCAATTGAATGCTTTGTTATGTATTGTCCCTCTCCTCTGAATACTAACTTTCCGGCCTCATTCCCTCTGCTCTCTGTGTCAGTATTGCACATGACTAACATGTTCCCGAAGCTCACAGCTCATCTCAGTGATGGAAACGTGCCTTTGAGAGGGCATTCATAACACACGCACCAGCGGAGGGAGGAAGGATCATGATTCCCAAAGAGGCATTGATTTTGTGCAGAGCCATCACAAAACATGACATCATCAGAGGCACATTATTTCCTACAGCCCTTCAGAGCAGTACACAAATAACCACAACGCTCTGGTCGCTGTGCTCAGTATCGCAAGAGCCTTAAAGGGCCAGCTGAAGGTCAGGCCCATTTGGATGTGGTTGTGTCTGGCGGAGGTTTGATCTATACTTTTATTGTGAGTATGGATTTTTGTGGAAATATTTACAGTATGAATTAAAGCTTTCTTGAGGCGGTGTACGCTTGCACACAACAAATCAAAACCAGGACTGAGTTAGATTCAAGATTTTGCCATTACCTCCCTGTACATGATATACAGTACATATTCATTTTGTTTGTATTGCAGTATGTGTTTGAAAGGCGCGGAGGGATTGGATTAAAATAAGCCTTTTGCGTCGACCAATCCCTTTTAAAACCATGCAAAGTTTTTCTTGTTTATCCTTTTATCATATTTTCTGTGATTAATTGTTTGTATATCTCCTGCATGTTTGATATAAATAAGCAAACACATACATATTGTATTATTATTATCAAAACAATCCTATGTCGATCACGGTTTTTCTAAATCAATATCTAAATATGTAAGTAAATTGCAATGACTGTGGAGCAAAGGTACAGTATGTGATCCACCAATAGTTCCCGGGTCAAAAACAGTTGATTCTATCATTCGTTTTCAAATAGAAAAGTGAAAAAGAGATAATTTCATTATGGGCAATGCCTGTAACAGGGTGTTGCTAAGGTGGTTACTATGGTAAGCTGGAGATTCCCATAAGTATATTAGGAACATATAAGGATTAACAAAGACATTATGAAAGGAAAATGCAAAACTACAGATTTTTTTCCATTCAAGTCAATAAGAGCAAAACTTTGTCTATGAGCACTTCCCTTTTGGGTTTCATGGATCAAGGGGGTTAGCATTGTCCATGTATATACAGTCTATGGTTGGGACGAATAACTAACAGGACAAAAGTTAGGTACCCCTGCTTTAAGTAAAATATACCGGAACTGAGTGGTACAAAAAATATCTACTTTTGTTTGAACATGGCTCAACCTCATCCCATCCACCTTACCTTCCATGTGATGATGAGTTCTCCGTTGGTCCCTCCGCCTCCAGTGACATTTGAGGGTGCCACCACCGGAACTAGAGGAGACAGAATATGGGAAAATGCTCAAAAACACAAACCAACGCAGACTCTGACCGCCTCTGGCACCAACACGCTTTTTCCCCCTTCCCCAAACACAATATCGGTGTCTTTCAGTCGGCCAAACGCAACACCTCCAGGTCCCTGCTGCTGCCCTGTTTCTGATGCAAATGGAAAATGATCCCTGTTTGCTTTAGCTCACTCTCACTTACTAATTATCATCCCGGGTAATGCTATTGTAAAGTCTGTAACTCCGATATGTGAATTTTAGTATTAGCTTCCAAGTAACTGTGTTTTGAATGGGATTACGTGGTTGCGTTTGGCAGCGTCCTGGTGGGGTTGCATTGACAGCGGTCGACAAGATCATAGTTTCTGGTTTGGTGTTTTTACAGAGGAAATACAAAAGTCAAAATGCACTTACATCATTGCGCGTCAAACAAAAACCCAAAATGACCTTTTGCGATGGTAAAAAGCAGCCATGTTTTAGGTTATTTTGTAATGATTGCCTTTTTGCTATTATGTTCAGTTCTTCTGCATGCTTGAGCACATTGTAATTGTCTTTTCAAAGCTTTCTTGAGACATTTTGAAAGAATTACAGGGCCGGCCCTAGCCAATGGGTAGACCGAGCATTCACATTGGGCCCCAAGGTTGTAGGAGGCCCCCCAATCTAAACTGAAGACTGTTGGGATCTGTGCTACATTGTTTACCCAGACTCCAACCGACAGGTACATCTAGCAAGAAAAACACACAAGTCTCACGCTTTTTAACATTTTCTTGAACAATAATGACTAATGAAAGGAGGATTATAATTTTAGTTCTATTTTTTAGGTAAAATAAGCAATTAAATCTTCGTTTTGCTATAGTTGGTTTGCCCTGTCATTTACACACACAAATAGCCAATATTTGCCTCAGTTACCACGAAGTGGGCTCTTCAAACAAATTCTGCTTCGGGCCCCTCTCAAGACTAGAACCGGCACTGGTCCTTATGCTTTCTTGCACAATTATCAGACAGTTAAATGCCTTACATGATTCGGAAGTCTTTTCTTTGGGTGACGGGCTGCTTGGTTCCCCGGTTCCCAGTGTGTTGGTGGCGATGACCCTGAACTCATAGTCTGTCCATGGAAACAGATCCACCACTGTGGCCGACTCAGAGTTCCCTTCCACGATCGCAGCTACAGGCACAACTTCATATGTTACGTATAGTTATCACGGCATAACTACTCGTAACATGTATGTAGTGATTCTTACATGTGGTGGCGTTCTTCCAGACTTTACTGTACGGGTCCTTGTACTGTATGGTGTATCTGGAAATGGGGCTGTGGTTGTCCGCTCCTTTGCTCCACTGCAGCGTCACACTTTTTTCCGTTTTGTTCACCACTCGGACTCCTCCAGGGGCTCCCGGGGCACCTGAGCATAGACACAATAAAGATGTGATTTGAAAGAAGATATATCATGCAGTATTATAGTAGTGTTTGAATTTATTTGACAAAAGAGAGTATGAGCCACTTTGTCATTTCATGTTGTAGAATATGAAACAATATAATGCATAGATTATTTATAGTGAAACAAGTATTAACAAAAATTATAATAATACATTTTATTTGTATGGTGCCTTAACTTAAAGTAAAAAAAAAAACAGTGGAATGAATGGTCTCAGTGAATAGGCCAGTCTGATAGATGTGTTTGAGTGCGGTAAAAAGACTATTGAGGATCCAAAAATAAATAACAGTTAATATAAAAAAATAGGATAAAAGGACACAGTATGTACTTTCTTATCTGCCTTACAATGTTTACACATGTTTAAGTTCCAGTCCATCATGTGCATCCTGTAGATTAGACTGTTTGTGTCCATTTCCAAAAAGAAAAACCAATCTTTGTTTGTATTTGAAAGCCTGAATTATAGATCTGCCATACACTAATGCTATTTCAATCCAATGTTTTGAGTCTTTGGTTACCACATAAAAAAACGGCTAATAGAAAAAACAGACTTCAACCCAAACTCGCTGTCTCAGAAATCAGACCGTTTCCAGGAGCCAAGACGACAAAGGCAGCCCCTTCTGAAGCTTGTCCTCAACATGAGAAGGGAAAGAAACTGATTGTAAAGAACGAATGAGCGAAAGAAGACATCAAAATCCATGCTACTGACTACAAGAAGCCTCATTCTGTCACTAGATCACATCGACAAGGCAAAAACCAGCTAATTCAGTTCGAATAAATAATTAGCGTACATGTAGCTATCATTTTAAAGATTCTCTGTATGCATGATTTTCCTGGTATTGTTTGAGGATCATTTGGGTTGTAATGCAAAAGTTATAAAGAAGTCAAATTGATCAAATTTGGCAAAATGTATCTTTAAATAACACAAACACTTCTTAAAATAAGATAAAACAAGATTTGCCAAGCGGATAAGCCACTTAAAGACAGTCAAAATGTCCTCAAATTCAGACAAAATCCACTCAATTCAAGAAATTCTCACCTCATATTTTGTCATTTTTTTGCAGTGTATAATAGTCATGATTACAATCACTTTCTCACATGGGGAAGGTGTTAAAAAATAAATTCAACCTACTGTAAATCAAAGTGGTTTGTTTTTAGACAGGAGAACAATCACGCCTTGTGCAGGAGCAGAGCTTTCATCTCCTCTGCAGTGCAAACACAGAACAGTGTTCTACTGTAGATTGTGGCCTGAATTTTATTTTATTTTTTATTCAGTTCTGGGCAGCTGAAAATGTATGACATTCTGCATGGATTAGGAAAGGTTTGAAAATGTGCCAATTGTTGAAAAAATAAAAGACTTATCAATAACTAACTCACATGGTTTGTCCTCACTACGAGTAAATGTTGCAAATATTTAGGACAAAGTAATTGTGAGGCCATAACACAAATGTAATGCAGTAATGGTGTTTAAAGGAGCATAAGACATGAAATAAAAGATATTGGCAAAAGACTATAAGCAGGACAATATTGGAGAAAAGTGTGATATATAATTAAATAGACCGGGCCTATTGCTTTCACACTGGTGAGACACTCACTGATCATTGGGTTGGGTTGTCTATTCTTCCGAAAATTAACAACCTTTTTTCCATGATACCAACACCCCCACTCAATCACGGTTCAAATCTCTGTACTCAATTATCACATCATTTTACTGGAAAAATAAAACACCTAGAATTAAACTCTCCACCCTGCAAAAATCAAAACCACAAGGAGGACTAGCTGCACCAAATTTCCGTCATTATTCTTTAGCTATACAGTTGCACAATATTTACAAATGGACTCACCCTGACCCATCAGACAGCACTTGGCGGGATATAGAAGGAGCATTTTGTCACAATATCCAAATTTCAGACTTACCCTTTCTTAGTAATTCAATCAAACGCTCCCCATGCCCCAAAACCTCAACAATATCCTCAACTCTGATGGCCTGGTGGAAATTTCAGAAAATTACTAACTGCACTCTATCATTATCTGGTCTCACACCCATCTGGAATAATCCTGACCTGCTAATCAACAAAAAACCCTTTCACTTCGGCACATGGGCAGAGAGAGGCATCACACACTTGCAGCACGTCTTTCAGGACAACACACTGGTTTCATTTCCCTGTCTGGTCCAGAAGTTAGGCATCAGGAGCACACAATACTTAGAATACCTACAGTTACAATCTTCAGTTAAGTCTGTAAACAAAAACATAAATCTTAATCACCCCCCAGCAGTCTCAGAGCTGCTCACCATAAGTACAAGAAAAAAACTTACAACTAATATACACAAAATCATAGCTAGCTCAGATCAAACAATATAACTTCTATATCAAAAATGGGAAAGAGACTTGACGCTTGCTCCTGATGCCAACTTCTGGCCTCGCGTTTGTAATAATATCCACAACATGTCCAAAAATACAAATCTACAATTGATACAGTACAAGATAATACATAGAACTCATTCCACAGCACAGAGACTCTCAAAATGTACTTCAATCACGGATACATGCACCAACTAGACACAAAATACAACAGACACCTACATTCACGCCATATGGTTCTGTTCTCTGCCCTCTTGGACTGTCACATCCCACTCTGCCCATCCCTCTGCATACTGGGAGATACAGCTTCACCCACTCTAAGCTCATCAGACACCAAAGTTTTACTGATTGCCCTTACCATCGCCAAGAAAACCATACTCATTAACTGGAAATCAAAAACTAAAATAAACATTAATCAATGGAAAAATGTACTGTCAGATTATATGGTATAGAGTTACATTCAAGCATCTTCAATAAACTGTTTTTTTGACCAACTTCCTTAAGGTTCCAACTGTCACTCTCATTTTGACCAACAGAACACTTACATACACCTGAACATTGCTACCGTTATCATCTACATCATCATCATCATCACTATATCAGGTTTTTATTATCAATTTATCATGATTATTGTCTTTGTTGTCATTAGCATTGTTGTTAACACTGTTATTAGTATTATTGAAATGGTATCGTTTATCCTCACAGTCATCTCCATGCTCATATTTGGCTCCCAAAATGGCATCTCGCGACAAGAAATTATAGCTTCTCCTCCCCACCGTCTCCTGTCTTTTAATGCATCACATTAGAGTAGCACTGAAAATTAAAAAAAATACACATAGGACCGGTCGGACGTGGGGGAGAAACCCTCATGTCTGCCTTTTAATGCATTGTAGAACACATGTCACACAACAAAGTAGTGAAACTGTAAAATTAATACACTTAAAATAGGGAAGGGGGGAGGGAAGATAGCAGTGCACCTTATTATTATTAACAGCTTTATTACTGTTATTGTTATAATAGATTTGGTAATAATGATAGTGATTATTATTATTATTGTTGATTATTGTTCTTATTATTATTATTATGATTATTAATCTCCCAATGGAAACTCAAATAGTTTTGGTTGTGAGGATGAATGTGGATTACTGTTATTGGTGGCAATGGTGACAATGTAATGATGACAATGACAATAATATTGTATATATATCTCAACCATCTCGACACACACACGCACACGCACACAAACACATACTCATACACTTCCTCAGTTACTACTAATTTCCTTTGTTTATTTGTTTTGTTTGTTTTTGTTTTGTTTTTTGGTTTCTTGTCAACATCAGTCTATCTGTCTCTTTATGTCTTTATTGATATTGTATTGTTTGTGTAAATGTTGTATAATAAAAAGAATAAAATAAAAAATAAAAAAAATTGTGGGTTGTCATGGTTACCCCTTTGTATCTGGATGACCTCACTGGATGACCTCACAGTAGTCATAGCAACACGTCAACCACTCTGGAGTTGCTGTAGGAAGGCAGGCTTCAGACCACCGTACAGTAAGTAGGGGAGGAAGTAAGCAACAACATGGAGCCAACAGAAGACATTACATTGCTAAGACTTGAAAATTCAAGTCTTATGGCAGAGATTGTTGAGAAAAATCTTCGTATCTCCACTCTGAAACAGGAGACTGAAAAGCTGCTGGACAGTAAGTATCTGGACTTCCAGTATTTAGCAACTAAATATTGGTATTCATCTGGCTCGGTCTCAACTGTAGCCACAGCCACGCAGACCCCGATGATCATCGAGGATGTAGCAGCTGGAGAGAGAGAGAGAGTAGATTGTGGTCTACAGGTCAATATGGAGGAAGACAAAGACATGCTGGAGCAGGAGCAAAATAAGCTCCAAGAAGCGTCAAACCAGGGTAGCTTTTGGTCTGAAATCAAGAACCTAGCAAGAAACGTTGCAAAGAGGGTGGCGGTAACCAGTCTGTCGTTAGTGGCAGTAGGTTACTGCTGCTTTTCTTTTTGTGCCACGTCTGGTTACCAGACGTTTACAGACCTTCCCCCATTTTAAACACTGGTTGGTTCTGGGTGAACCAATGTCCATGTTGTCATGGACATTGGGTCACTGAAGTCAACCCTAAAAAACCTGCAGCCACAGCAGTCCTTTATGGACCTGTTTGGACACCTCTGGGCTGTAGACTCTGAAGGGTTACTTCAGAGTCTACAGCTTCACATGCGATGCTGTATACCAGACTCTTTGGGAAAGTGACCTGTGTGCTTTGGGTCTTGAGTTTTGTACAATTCCGAAATTGGACAAAACTTGACAACCCAAAGAACACTGCAAAAAGTTCCCAAAGAGTTTTGGAGCAGCAAAGTACAAATACACTAAATAATAAAAATTAATTGCAAATATAGTATTAGTATTGTTATTAGAAGGTTCATGGGAGTTCGCTCAACCTGTTCACATCTGTTGTGGATATGGAGAAGGTATTTGACCGTGTTCAGGGCTCGACATTAACGGTTGTCTGCTTGCCCGGGGCAACTAAAGATTTGGGACGGGCAAGTGCGCTGTTTTAGCAAGTTGCCTGACCGGGCAAGTGATGCATTACTTTAACTCATTCAATGCGGGAATGCATTCCTGCATTCTTCCTATGGAGCTGGGAGCACACCCGTCTGCTTATCTTGTTTTGACCAATTCTCTTCCAAATTTTCCACGGATCCGCAATTCCCGACTGTTTTCCGCTGAAAAAGTCATTTCTGTGAAATGTGTGACCACGGGCACTTTCTGTTGTTTGTTCTACGTCCTCGAACGCTATTTGCATCCTCCGCTCTGACCCCAGGAGCAGCTGCTGCCGCTTTGTAACAGCTTTGGCAACAGCTTAGTGAATACACTGCGTAACGTGGTACCGAGAGCGGACCATAGTCATGCGGACAGAACCATAGACACACGCGGACAGAACCATATGGACACACGTTCAGGACCATCTCCAGCTTGTTGCAAGTGCAGCTTGTTGATGTACAACTTCCTGCTCTTGTACAGTGTGGCGCATTCTCTCACTTCTCCTCGCTTGCTGCTTTTTAATCTCCTTAAATCATTTTTATTTAGATTTTTATTTGACAAAACATGGATTACTTGTTTTACAAACTTCAATACAACACTTGTGGAAATTCCCAACTTTAAGTATGTCTGGAGGACGGAAAAAAGAAAACTTTGCGACGGCTGTTGGTCACTCAAACAGGAGTTAAAACTTCTTCAAGACTGAGTGTTTGTCCTTGAATCAGAAATGGGGCTTAACACCACGTTACCAATGAAGGGAAATGGACAAAATATAAGTCATGAAGATGCTATTTCATTTGACTGGAGTAGGAATTTGCACATCAATACCTACAGATCGGGTGCGTAGGAGGAGAGGCCATAGCCTGATGTCATAGAGAGAAAAATCCCACACACAGTCTTACTTGCAAATAAAAAAATATTTATTTAAAGTGCGACATGCGCCTGCAGTAAGTCAGACCTGTTCCCGGTGCATGTTGGCCCCCGCCAAGGTTGCCCTTCTGTTCAGGATTTCATCTCGGCTCTTTGTGGACGATATTGTCCTATGACTTTTGGCTTAGCTCCATCTTCACCACAACGGTCCAACACAACGACCGTGTAACGTGTGTAACTTTATTTGGAAAACAAAATTAATTTGTGAACATAAAAGTCTTACTGTTTTCTAGTTTAATGTAAAGTTTTACTGTCTTTTCAGTTAAAAAAAAAAAGCAGTCAGAATGTAACACACTTGATTCAAGCAATTATTACCTGATATTTTATAATTTTTTGCAGTGTTGGTCCCTGAACTTTACCAGGCTTGAGGTCAGCCCCTTCCACTCGAGCTTATATTGCTTTAGGAACAAAGATACTTCAATAGAACCACCAAAATCACTCTTGATGATTACATATATAATTATGTGAATCATAGACTTCTCCAAACCCTGAGCACAAACTAAACCTGGAATGCAAGAGATGACACCTTGACTCCAAATCTGGCGAATACAGTATTATACTAATAAAAATTAACCAGTACAATGTGGTTTATTACCACAAAAATCACTCGAGATGATCTAAACCAGTGTAATTCAAAAATGTGCACTAGAATTTAATATGCTGCTATCCCGAATATATAACTACAAAATATGTTTGTAATATTTCGGGTGTTCATTTTTACATGTTAAGATGAATTATGTAAAAAAACGGCTTTGAAGACGCACTTTTTCACTTCTGCATAGAAACGCTATTGGGCAGCAAAATGGCGGCGATGACGTAGGAGAATGACCTCTCACAGCAGCAGACAGCAGTCTTGGCTGAATCTGTAGGAGGTTTCACTGTCATCTGAACAAGGTATAAACATATTTTCATCCGTTTTGTACATAATAGTGTGCAACTCTTTTAACCTTTTAGCCTTATTTGTGAGATTCAAGCTAATTAGTGTTGGACAAGTTAGCTAACTCTACTTGATATCATAAAACATGCTAACAAGGCTAATATTCGTTTTTACATTAAGCCAGTCTTACTTTGGTTGCCTTAGATTTATTTACCACAATGTACATTGTAATATCCATAAATGCTAATCAAAATAACTTGAATTAAATAAATATTTTACTTTTATGAACAAAAAGCTGCAGAAGTTGAAAACACAGACAGAAGAGCTAACATGATAACTACATGTGATGCAATCATTGATAACAATGCTAATTAAAGCATTAATCATTCGGGTTGCACTCAGAGAAGGCTCCAATAAGCTGTAATGATATCTGTCAACGGGAGCCTTGAGAGGAGCGGTGAGGGACGCAGTGCACCCAGGCCACAGCAGGGGGCACTGCAGAGCAATCCACACAACGCTCTTGGATTCTGTGTGAGAAGAGAGGCTTTGTATGCAGTGAACAGTGGGCTGGATTCAGTAGTTTGACAGGCTACTGCAAGGAAAGCTCTCATGTTCCATGTTATGTGTGTAGTGTATGTGTGTACTCTGTGTGTGTGTGTATGTATGGTGTGTAACTGTAGAAAGACACCAGGAACTAAGCTAAGCACTTCTTTTAGAGCCAAACCCTTTTTTAAATTATAATACACAGCAAAGAGTGATAAAAAAGGGTCAAAAATTGCTCAAATTTGGCAAAATGTATTTGGATTTGGACTCCATTAAAACACGATTTGCCAATGGGACGAGCAGAATTATCATGTTTTTAAAATATACAACACATGTAAAAATTCTAGAAATAAGACTAAACGGCTTCGTCCCATTGGCAAATCTTGTTTCAAAGTGGTCAAAATGTGTATATTTTGCCAAATTTCAGTAATTTTATACATATTTTGTATCACTTGTTGCATGGATCATCCCCTTTTTGTTTTGTTTTGTTCTTCATTCTCTTTTTGCCCATGTGTGTGGGTACAGTGGTTTCTGTATGACCCAGAAAGTCATATTTTTGTATGGCTCAAAATAAAGTGTTCATATCAAACGTCAGGTGAACAATGCAGAGCTCATGGCACTAGTGTGAAGGATTTAGAGCAGGGGACAAAAGCGGCAAAGTTCTACTGTTTTTAGACCGTCAACATAATGGTGTGCTCCAGTGGATTAAGCAGCTTTTTTATCTTGATTTGAAAACACTTCTTAAAACAATGGAGCAACCAGCTTTATTCGTATTTCTAGCATGTACAGCAAATGTATCTCTTGTTGCCTTGGCACATCTCGTTTTTAGACCGTTAAAGTGTTTTTTAATTAATGTGGGCATTTTTTGGAGGGAATTTTTTGTTGTGTAGTGCAAGACCCATAACCCATCATAATTGTTTAGTGCAAAAAGTAGTCATTTTTATATTTACCCATTAAATTATCCTTTGGGGAGCTACTTTGAAGAAGGTGGCGAGTTACTGGTAGCTCCTGAGCATTAGGCTGGAGACCAATAATTTATGATTTGATGTTAATAACACTTATGTTTGAAGCAAGATTACATTGTCTGCGGGTGGATTTGGATCCGCAGCAACAGTATTCCCTGTATTTTTTGTATGGACTCTTATCTCTTGGCAAATATCATTCAGATTCAATTTTACACTATGAAATGACACGTACATGCGCTAATCTCGAATTCTTTGTACACAGTTAGCAACAAAGTGAATGTAAATGAGTTGCCCGAGTGTATCGTTAGATATGGAAATTCAAATTACAGATAAGGCTTAAATCAGCAAATTGAAAATGCAAAGAAAAAAAAATGTTTCTGTTTTTTCCAGGATCACAGGTGAAAGTCTCTCTCTGACTCAACCGCACACAGATCTGAATAGAAAGTGTTGTTATTGTGTTGACGCCTCACCTCGGACCAGCAGGTGTGCAGAGGTGGTCACGTTGTCCACAGGAGTCTGGGCTGTGCAGCTGTAGTTCCCAGCATGCTTCAGCTGGACGTTTCTGATGACGAGCTCGCCGTTAGAGCTGCCGTTCTGTATGAGACGGAAAACAAGACATAGTCGTTCCATTAATTAGTTATTTCCATGAAACTATTGGCATTGTTACAACTACTGTACACTGCAAAGAGTGAAGACAAATAAGTCAAAATAGCTCCATTTTTTTATTTTGAGCACATTTTGACTTCTATAAACAAGATTTGCCAATGGGACAAGCAGAATAATCTTTTTTTTTGCAAAATAGAACAAATATCTTCCTTAGAATGACAAAATAAAGCTATAGTTCTTGAAATATGAATCAAATGGCTTGGTCTCATTGGAAAATCTTGTTTGAAGACATTCAGAATGTACTCTAATTGAAATAAAAAATGACTAGATTGAGATTGAGCAGAGTGAAGAAAGCTCGATGAAAATGGCCGTAAGTAAAGTCTAATTATTCTAAATGAATTTGACCTAATTTATTTGCGTTTGGAAGATGAAATATTGAATATGGCGATTGGCCCCTGCAGAGAGAGAGTCTGCAGGAGGGAAGAGAAGAGAGATTAACAGAGTGCAATCCCTCCAGGGTTTAGTGCCGGAGGTCGATGTCATGAAAAGGGGATTCCTCCGATGATAGGGCAGTGATGGGGACAATAATAACGGCTTATTAACCGAGCGCGAGGTCTGTATGGAGAAATATCAGACCGCGGCCTTTGTACTGTGCAAAAAGGCCAAAAGGCCATGACTCTCGTCTGTGTCTTTACTAGTGATGGGTAAATGAAACCTCACGTATCGTTTCGGCACATCCAACGAACTGTGTTGATACTGTGCCGCAACAGTGTTGCTTGTGCTGCTCTATACTGACACCTGGTGGATCTGATAAATCATTGCATCCAACTCACTGATTCAATGAGCTTTACATACTTGTCTGCACACAATATTACGTAACTGCATTGTCTGTGTTATTTTATTTTATGTGAAAATTAAAGTGATAGTTGTGAATGTATTCATTAAGAAAAATGTCATTGAGTGATGTTTTTTTTTTTTTTTTTTTTTTTTTTCAAAACAATAAGCATGTCCAAAGTGCACTGTAAACCCTGGCAACTAAAGTATACTTGAAAAAACCTTTGACATTTTCTGCACTTCAATTTCTCAAAATTATTCTTCAAGACTGTGATGTCAACATAAACTTTTGAGGTCCGACAGGGATTCGTACCCAGTCCTCTCAAACGCGAGGCGAGAGCGCTATCCACTCATCCACCATGCCTAACTAGATTTTGCGTTTCAAACTAAAGCTGGATTGTAGATAAAGCGTGAAATGTAAAATACAAACATTGCCTTATTTGCTGTTATTTGCAGTATCACACTGCAGAATACTTTCTTTTAGTGGCAGGTTCCATTTTTTTATGCTGTAAAATGGGATGCTTTTCCTTTTTGAAAGGGTTATTTTCTTTTTCTGAGAGCGGTTCATACCGGTGACACTTGCAGATGCGGAACCTTTTAAACACAGTTTGCCGTGTCGGTGACAAGCGACACTGCGGCTGTATTGGTCACGTGGCTTTTTCATAAAGCGACACGCGCGCCGATACGAGGTTTCGCTAAACGAACTCGGCACATGCGCCGGTGTATCAGTGTTGCTGGACCCATCACTAGTCTTTACCAATGCTTTTGAGATATTTGTGAAGTATGTTCTAGTCCGACTTGGTTTTGTGTGATACGCGCTGCGGACAGATTGTCATGGTAACGGTCCGAGGAAAGATATCAAATGTGATACGCGCTGTTCGGACCAATTGTCATAGTAACGGTCCGAGATGGGAAAATATCAGACCGCAAATCAACCAATCAGAGCGCACGTACGGTCCAAGTCATATAATAATAACACATTGTATATTTATCTTGTCTTTTACACTTCAAGGAGTGCAACAACAGATTTATAACCAGATAAAAACTACAAGTGGAGATCGACACAAAAATCAAGCACAAGCAATCAGAGGTGACAGACCTTGAACAGAAACTGAGTCTTTTTCAAGTGAACATGTTTTCAGGCCTCTTTTAAAGACTGTAACACTCTCAGGAACTCTCAGGGAATCCCAGTCTTACATTTTTTTGTGATAGAGGTAAAAATGTTTCCCACCAAAAAGGCTGTGAGGACTTTGACCATAACGAATGCTGTTACGTTGTTTTTTTTACCCGATCAAACCACAGACACAGTTTGGACTAAGGTTATGCTGACTCGGTGAGGACTCGTGTTGCGTTTGCCCCACAGAATGTGAATTAGCTGTTTTTACGAGCACAAAATGATTGTCCGACGACCAAAAATAGTTCACCATTGATCACAGTCAAAATATGATGTTTGGCCAAAGAGCAAATGAATAAAAGAGAACGGCTGAGCAGAGACCACAGCAGCCAGAGCGAAGAGGAGCAGGTCATGTCAACAGAACTGGAAACAACAACAGGCTGTTATTACTGTCGTCAGAGAGAAGAGAGATCACTGAAGAGAGGAAGACTGGGCTTAAACTAAACCACTTTATCAAATTCATCACTCTTTTAAGTTCCCAGGTCCAAACATGGTGCCTTCTAACACGAGAATTCCCAGACCAGTCAATTTCACGGCTTTCAGATGTTGGAAGTGTACTTACTCAGCTCATGTACATTTTTTGTCTTCATAACTTTGTGACTTTTTATGTATCTATATGTAGTTTATTTCTATGTTTTGATTAATTTATACTATATTTTAAGAAAGTGAGAAGTTCTACCATTAACTCCTAGAGAAGCTAGCAACACTCTCTGTCAGCAGTTAGCCTTTATTCTATTTCAAGTTATATTCACCAGTTGTATCACTCATTTCAAAGTGAGTAAAGGTTAATAATACCTTGTAAATTACTTACTTTTAAAAAATCTGGTGAAAAACTAAGACATATTGGGGGAATTTATCAGAATTACATTGGTTTGAAGCTCTTAGAAGTTCTAGTAGATTCAGAATTCTGGGAATTTCTGGGATTCTGGGAATTCCTAGTTTGTTCACTTGATCACATTGCTGGACTGTTTAAATTTTTAGTACAAACACACAAATTATTTTATTAATTATTCAAAGTGAAAACAAACTTGAGTTAGACCTGCCCACCTTTCCTGCTTCCTGATTGGTCAAACGTAATTTAAATCCAGACTCCTTGTCATAGGTGGAAGTATTCTCCTCCAGCAAATCTTACTGGTCGTAGATTTGCCAAGAGGATTTCAGCTCTAATATTGGTGAAAATATCTAACATATGCAATAGAACAGTGCCCTGTTGTCAGAAATATACATTATTTAAAAGATATTACTACAATCCAAGTTTCTGGTATTACCTTTGAATAATGTGTGCTCTTAATTTTCAGAGAATAGGGAGTTCTATTTTGCTGTTTGACCAGTTTCTCTATTTAACCATACGGCAGATCACCAAAATTCTCCTTTTGAACAATGGAAAAATGATAAGAATTATTGCAGTGCATGTTTATTCTCACCAGGGGGCGCTCATAGTGCTGGCTGTCCTTGTGGAGGTCGATCACCTGCCCCTCCAGAGCCCAGATAAAGGTAATGTCCAGGGAGGGGTCATGTGACGCGGCGCACTGCATGGAGGCCGCTTCTCCCACTTTGATATCTGCATTGGCCGGAGCTAAGGTGATCTTTGTGGCATCTGAGAGGACACGACATAAATATAAATCAGAGACTTTTGAAAGGATTTGCCTCTGGCTGAAAGTGTACTTTTGTGGAGGATGTGGAAGGCCAGTAGTACCAGTAGTTATTGCCAATGTCCAGTAGAGGGCAGTTGAGAGCTGCACTGGTATCTATAGCCAGTCAAGTGCATGGGTGGGATACTGGAAATGTTCATTTTCACACTGAATGCCTATTTTACTGCTTTTAGCAAAAACAAAGCTTATTTAATCGCTTATTCATAAACAATCACACAAAAACTATCACTAAAGAATATAATCACGGCAGTTCAAAACCCATTAAACAATCGTTGTGAAGAAAACATGATGCTATTTACAATAACTGACAATGAATGTGCTTTTTGTTAACATTATCTTTTACTTATTGGGACTACATCTTGAGGTTCCACCACCGAAACCTAAAGAAACAATAATATTGTAAGAATAACATTTTAGGTGTAACTGGAAACATGTGACACATACTTTAAGTTATCTATCACAATTAATAATAATAAATACTTTAGGAACCCAATCAACCAGTTCTGTGACTAATGACTTAGAAATACTGACGAAAGATTATTATGAGCCATTGAATTATTCATCCAAGCAACATTTAACTGAACTATGAAACGTAGCATTTCTTTAATAATAAGGCTTACATCAGTCTACTTCATTCAGAATTCATAAATATTGAATAAATGACAGCCTTCTCAAGTATCATATTTTTAGTGCAGTAAAATCATATAGAAACTGACATATATGTTCCCTGCAAAAGTTTATGAGCGTATAAGAAATATATAAATATTGAATGTAGTATATTGTGTTTTTGTCTGATAACTAACAAACAAGACTAGTATGTACTTGCATATAAGGAGATGCATGTAAATAATAGAAAATAGTACAAATGGTAAATACATGCAACTTAAAATAAACAAATAAACTATTTTCTGAAACATACCAGTAATCAGGAGAGATCCGGTGCTGTTGGCTTTGCCCCGGTCGTTTTCAGCAAAGCAGGTGTATCTGCCTTCATCGGCCCGGGTCACGTTGAGTATCTCCAGGCTTCCGTCTTCCCAGATGAAAACCCTGCAGAACCCAAAAATGAACTGTTCACACACTGAGCCGCAGATCCATAAGATATCAAATATTAAGCACTGCGTACGAGGTCAAAAGTGCAGCCTTTGTAATTCACTGGAGATGAGGATGATGAGAAATGTGAGGAAATTCCAGCACTGCAGAGGAGGAAAATAACATGGAAGCCAAGAAGTGATTTTACTGAACTTGAAGAATATTCACCTCAGCAGTGGAAGAGGGTAATGAATGTATAAAACAGACAATAACTGTAGCAGGAACCACAGAAGAAGCCAGAGGAAATGCAGTAATCCCAGTATAGTTTTAGTTTGAGGACTATATATACTTACTGCTATTATTAGATTATTGTCACTTAGGATTGTCATTTAGGATAGATTGCAGTTTTAAGTAATTACTGCTGCATTACTGCTTGCAATGGCTTTTATTTCAAATGAGGTTAGTATCCCACACTACCAGTTAAAGCTGAGGTACCCAACTTCCAAACTCACTAAGATTTATCACGTAATACTATCCGTTTGACTTTTTCCTTTTCAAGAGTTTGGATCACATGTATGTATAATTAGATCATCTTTTCTATTCTATATTACTCTAATTTATCCTTTATCTTTTAATAAAAAAAATTTAGAGATTTTTCTGATAGTGAAGTGAAAAAAGAGAGGACCACCCTCACTCAGCCAATCAACAATTTTCTGCTGAGGAACTACAAGTGTAACTTAGCGCTGCTGCTAACCTCGCACAATGCATGTGTCTCCTCTTGGCTAATGTTCATATACACTGTCCGTGTAAAAATAAGAATTATACCAGGCTATTACTTTTGAGATTGTACCAAGTATGACCAAGTATTGTGCTAAGTTGTCCTAACACAAGAATGTAAATAGCTCAAATAAATAAATACATTAATGCTTATATCTGCTCTCTGCCCAAAGCGGCAAGTCTAGTATATTTTAGTATGAAGATATAAGATAGGATAAGATAACTTTTTTGATCCTTTTCGTCCCTCAGTGGGGAAATTTGAAATCCTGTTGTGGCCTGTTTGTCCAATCAATCAATCTTTATTTGGACCCTTTCTGGTGAGACAAACAAAATGTGCTACTGTATTTCATAAACAAAAAAAGTTGGCAAAGTCTGTCTGTAGCTTCACTAATGTTTACCCACATGTTTAAAATTGGGCTTTCATGGAGTGATTCAAAATGTGTAAAAACGCATCTGCGCATACGTCATCCGGCACGAGCCCCATTCATTTAAACGAGAGACTTAAAAAATTCACAGCGTCTAATCTAGACTGTTCCAAAAAAAATCATCCCCCTCAGCATTGACACACATGTGGAACGGAGCTTTGGGCCAAGAGCCAACTTTTGGACCATCCTGTAAAGCTGTTTTCGAGAGGTCTGCCAATGCTATATGTTAGAATTGGCTAATTCTTCTTCCGGGTCCACCCCCATCGGCCCGGGGTGGTATTGCAAACATGTCAGCGCACGTCATTTTGGCCACTTTTGAGCCGGGACCCGCCCCCACTGATATATATGTTAAATAAAAACCCTTTGATTCCTCTTTCTGGTGTTCCCTAAAGTCAAAATTTTGAGGTGGTGTCGGCCTCACTGCTCCCTGAGACCTACCCCTCCCCACATGTCTGTCTGTGGTGACTGGGGAGTGAGGAGGGCGGCGGCGGCGAGCTGGGTGTGTCACAACCCGGAGATTAGTCTTGTTGTGACGGAGAGGAGCACAAGGAGGGGGCAGTTCACTTACATGCTGTTGGTTCTGATAAGATTAAAGTTGGGTATAATGTCAGCAGCCAGGGCAGAGAGAGTAGAGCTTACAAACACGTCCGGATTACACGTCTGTCATATGTTGCAGATTACGCACTGAAGACTTAATCGTGTGAAAATATTGTGGAGGAATGAGTGTGAAAGCTGATCTACAGATGCGACAGACGCTAAAAAACACGTCGCAAATCGCGTTTTTCCGTTTTAAGTGGTTTGAACGGTTGCTTTCACTGAACTTGAGTTGTCAGAAAGAAAAAGAAAAGAAAAAAACGCTTCTTAAATGTTTCACAAAAAGTGCTACCTGTAAATGCTATGAAACCATAAGTATACCATGTCTGGAAGAAGACTTTTCTTAGAGGAAAAAGAACCAGGATATGCACATAAATTACAGTTACAGTACATACATATTTGTCAGAGTAGATTAATGGACCAAAGATAATTTCCCACTATGAGTAAGTCTAGATAAGTTCTAAGCAATTCTATGCATTGTCGAAAATACATGCCATCAATCATTCATTCCACACACGGTGGTGATAAACAATTATTGTAGCCACAGCTGCCCTGAGGCACACTGACGGAAGCGAGGCAACCAGTATGTACCATCAGCCGTTCCAACCATCACCTGCCTTTCACACACACACACACACGACTCTTTCTAGGCAAAGTGGGTGAAGTATCTTGCCTAAGGACACAACAGCAGTTCGGCACTTTGCAGCCACAGCCGCTCCACTGTGGCACCTGGAGGTCTCCCATCACAGTACTAACCAGGCCCTGCCCTGCTTAGCTTAAAAGGACTGACAGGATTTGGCTTTCACCTGCATTTAAGGACTTTATCGACAATGGTCATCCGCCCCTTGTTTTTTTTTTTTTTTAAATAACTGCATTTCTTGTGTTTGAACAGTTTGATTCTCTGTTTGAAAGTTAGATACCCCAGCTTTAATCACACTACACAAAAAAAACCTCATAGCTTAAAGTTTGCCTTGTCGTTGAAAGTGCAAGTCCCGATCACACACAGATATAAAAACTTTAAATCCTCTTCCACACCTGGTAGAGTTGTGGAGCAGCTCTGTGTCTTTGCTCCAGGAGATGGAGGGCTCAGGGGCAGCTTTGGGCCGACACTGGATCACCACTCTGCCGTTCCTCGCTGCCAGCACCCTCTTCACCGGACTGTGCGCGAACGTGGGAGCGCAGGCTGAGGAATATGAGGTGTCACAAATCATGAGAGAAAGAGCAAGGGAGGTGTTCATTCCACTTCAAAATTCAGTTGGAAATTCAATTTGTTTTTCAATGACATCACTGTAGATTACTTTGTTGATATGGATTTAAGCCTCAGGACCAGAACGGGTCGATCCAATGGTACTAGTGTGGTAGGGAGCGCCTTAAGGATTGTTTAATCTCTGTGACTATCTCTGATCTAAAAGTGTCTGTTTTAATTGTGTGTCTGACCATGTTCAAATCCATTTTAAAACAGTTATATTTACCAATATTCCGGGAACGCTTCACAGTGTGCGACCTGCGTAGCTACCTCGAGCAGCACGGAAAACAAACCGCTTTTTCCAATTCTTTTGTGCCCTCTGCCATAAAACTGTTGAACTCTGGTAGAGGTGCTTGACTTTTGGGAATTCTGTTGTTCAGTGTTGTTTTTGTAACTTATATTGTGTAACCTGCTCCTGTGTCAACTGTGAGACTCACTGTGTGCTTTTGTAGAGTAAGTGTGTTCTGCTTTGAGTTTATGCGGCAAATGAATTGACCTTTGAGATCAATAAAGTTTTCTGAATCTGAATCAATAGTCTTGATGATCCACCCGGAAGTAGAAAATCCTACTATATACCTTTTCACTTTTCATATATTTATTTGTTTAGTTTTATTAATCCGTCTTCTGTAAAGCGCTTTTGGGTGCTATATAAGCTATCTTAAGTATTATTTTCATTATTATTATCATTACTTTGCATGTAATGAGTCTGTAATGAGGTTTAGTTACATAAATGAACTGATTTTGAGGCATTTTCTTCTTATCAAGTTTCACCCGTAATTGTCCCTTTCAAATAAACCCAATAATAAAACAAATTGAAACAGATAAAAATAAAATAAAAGTCATGGTAAATGTGAAAAAAACAATGGCCTCCCACCCCGGCGACTCACCGAACACTCGCAGCTCGGCGTTGGCGTAGATGACCCCGTGTCTGTTCTCCGCCACACACTGGTACATGGCCCCGTCCTCAAACGTCAAGGCCCTGAACGTCATGGCGCTCCTCACCGTCTGCACACAGAGACACGTACGCATCATGGAGCCGCTCGGGATTACGGCTCCAGACAATTATAACATCTGACATCTACGCAAATGGAGGTGACAATTAGCACGTCAGCGAGAGGATATGTTAAATGTGTAATGATGTCTTTAGCATAAGTCAAACAGAGCAGCAGTCTCTTGTCATTATAGCTTCTCTCTAGGGATTTCTCTGGAACTATATGAAGCTACACAATGCAAGCTGGCTCCCACTCAACAACAACCTGCACTGTTTCCTGACACGGCTCCTGGTGCCAGCTTCCTGTCAGCGCTGCAGCACAACACTATATATATGAAGCTGCTGGGAAAAAAATGACAATAAAGATTTATGGTGTTGGGGAAAATTACCGGTTTTCCGTTTTTGAGCCATCGGATGTGGGGTTTGGGTTTTCCGCTGGCTACACAGGACATGGAGTGCTCGCTGCCAAGGCCTTTTTCGGTGTTGTTGATGTACTCCACCCACTGTGGGACGGCTGAGGCGAGAACGAGAGAGAAATGCAGCGTCACACAATACAGAAAGACAGATATCCAAAACAATGAGGATATAATGATCGAATGTTCCTGTGAGGTTAGAATGAGCAATTTTCATGGATATCAGAAAATAGTCTCCGTTTTCACACTTTGAAAAATCCTTTTAACTGTTTTAATATATATTATTCATTGATTATATTGATTGTATTGATTATTTTAGATGGGATTAAGCCATTTCTACTTTGCCGTTGTAATGGTAACCACCTTTGGCTCTGTTATATCAGTGGCCTTTGTCCAAACAGGAAGTTAATAATACATTTATAGAAATCTCGATTTACGTCAAATCTTAAATATAGAGCAGGCGTGTCAAACTCAGGCTGGTGGGCCAAATCCGGCCGGCAAGACCTTTTTAATTGGCCCCCAAAATTATGTTCTATTATCATTATTAGAGTAACTTGCAGCTTTGATGGTGATGGGATACTACTTCCTTTTAAAACTTCAATTATATATATGCAGTATATATAATGGGCGACAGTAGCTCAGTTGGTAGAGCATTGGCCTTAAGGCCAGAAGGTTGTGGGTTCAATTCCCACCTCTACACCTTCTCCACCGACTCCCACTGATGACTGCTGTTGTTGTGTCCTTGGGCAAGACACTTAACCCCACTTTGCCCAAAGCCCCCGCTGCAAGATCTCAGCTCCTGTGGACTCACCACCTGCAGAGGATCTCTGTGAGGGGCTGGTGCTATGTGTACTGGGTGGCATCTCTGATTGCCACCCCCCTGACCCAGAAATGGATTAAAGGGTAGAAAATGGATGGATGGACAGTATATATAATTTTATGTTTTCTAAAATGTTAAACATCATTATAACTAATTAGGAGTTAAGTCAGGCTAAAGATATACTGTATGTGTTATAGTCCTATTAATATATGTCTTCAATTACATCACTTCTTGATATTTGGTATAATTGTGAATCCAAACCTATCAGAAAATAATATCCAAACTAATGTAAATAAAGTGAATTCGTCCATAAAGGAATGATAATAAATGAAAACCACTTTTATACTTTTGGCCCCAATCAGCTCTTATGTTTCTAAATTTGGCACACAACCAAAATGAGTTTGACACCTCTGATATAGAAAAATTTGTCACTGGCATCTCCACTACACTGTAGCATTAATCAAAGTATTGATGACACCCACAAAAAGAAATAACCACCTTTATCTCCTCTCTCATCAGCAGTTCTAATGTTGCTGCTTTCTGCATTTGGACCTCACCTTCCACAGACAGCCGTGCAGAGTGGTAATCCTTCCCTTTGGAGTTTATGGCCTCGCACTGATATGCTCCGGCGTCCTCAATATGGATGTTGTTGAGATGCAAATGAGTCCCGGCCATGCGGACCTCGTGATTGGCCGGCAGGGGTCCGTCCAGCTTCTTCCAGCGTATTTCAGGGACCGGACTGAGAAGGACAGAAAGAAGCTGAGTGAAAGGAAAACATGTGCAAAAAAACTCATTATTTTTTTATAATTACATATTTTGTGAAGAAATGATTGACGAGCCCTTTTTGAAGTTGTAAAGCAGGAAAGCAAAGTAATTGGGGTGGTCCGGAATATAAGGCCAGCTCATGAGGTCTTTTTGACGCTCTGCTCTGCTTCGTAACCACTTTTGCTTTTTACTGGCTTCAAGTCCATTAAAAGATGACATCACTAACAATTATAATGATTAGTCTACATTGTACACAAAGTATAGTTTTTTTTATGTAGCAGCAGCAGTAGAAGCTGTAGTAGTAGTTGTAGCAGTAGACGCTGTAGTAGTAAATAAAAATAATAATAATACATTGCACTTATAAAGCGCTTTCATGGACACTCAAAGACGCTTCAAAGAAGACAAAAAGATAAAAAGAATAATCACAATAATAAAATATTTTGTTTAATGCATGAGTCTTGCAAGCCTCACTGTTGCACAGCTGAGATCAAGCCAAATTTAAAAACCCACTTTTGACCAATTCATTGCATTTGACATTAGTTTGGATAATATTTTCTAGTTTGGATTCAACCACAACTGGGCCAAATACCAAGACGAGATGTATTGGAAGATTAGTAAAATAAAATGCAAAATATATATAATTAGTAACTATAAATGTAACAGATTCATTTTGATATGGTTGTTATCCTGAGAAACTAGGATTTATAATGAAGTATAACATGTCATAGTATAGAACATTAAGGATCCCACATATTAGAACATTACCGTCACTGCTGTAAGTTTCTGTGATAATGACAATTGAAAATCATTTCAGGGACCACAAAAAATTTTGTTTGACACATCGGGCCTAGAAGGTCGAGGGCTGGAACAAATTTATTGATTAATCACAACTCATGGATCAATTTCAAACTAATTTAGTAATCACTGACTTGTTTTTTTGAGCCTTACATAAACGTAAAGATGCCGAGAAGAGTAAGTTATTTCTTTCTCCAAAAGCAGACAATTGTACGACAGCGATGTTATTACCGTGACAGGTTTTTGATGGCACACTTCTGCCTTCCTGAGACGCACCGAGGAAGACGGAAGAGCGCCGGCGAAACATGCTGAGCTAATAACATCGCTATTGTCACGAGAGCAGAACAAAGGGAGAACTGCAAAAAACACCAGATTTAATAAACAAAACAAAAATCTAGGCTATAGCAAAAATAAAATAATAATCTAAAATCAAACTGCAAAGAAACAACGGAAGAGGAGATGTGCACAGGGTTTGAATACATGCAGGAAGATGCAGGTGGGACTTATCCGGGTGTGGGGTAGACAGAATTATCAACAGGTAAAAAATTTAGCTCTTGTCTAAAAAAAAGAGCCCATTCTTCCTTGCAACTGTCTTCCAGATCTGAAATTTTAGAATCCAGGGCTGTCTTTTTTGGAATAATCTACAGATTTTTATTCATATTTCGGTCCAAAGAAGTTCTGAGCGAGGTTTCTATGTTAAAACGGCAAAATATCAGAATTGTTCCTCTTCTCAAGCCTTATCTTGGTTTGGTCCATATTCAATGACGTTTATAGAATAGTCATTTTCTAAAGAGACAGAATAGATGTCAATAGAGACACTAAATAAGAACCAATATATCATAATAAAACTGGTAACAAATTATCTGCAAAAAGTCCACGCTTTGACAGCTATCCTACATCTGTCTGGTGTCTACGAAGAAGCCACAATAAACCTTCCTGGGCTGTGTTGAGGAGAGATTTATGACTCAGATAATTCTATAATGCCTGCAGAGAATGAAATTAAAATGTGTTTACAAAGTATTTTTGATCGAGCAACCCAATGTGTAACGAGTCATCATGAAGATATTCTCCAGGGGCAGTACCAGAGCAGCGGCCAACTAAGTATTTAGATTCAGATTCAGATTCAGTTTATTTGCCATTTGCAGTAAAAACACCACATAGGAATACATTAGCAAAAGTCTCCAGTGTGCACAGACAAATACAGACATAAAACAACATTAAAAGACAAAAATAAAACAAATAAAACAGTAAACAAATGTCACTGTGAAATCGATCGACTAAAACAGTTTCAAAACAAGTGCAAATCATTAAAGTGCTCTGTTCACACTGATAACAGCTTGTGGATAAAAACTGTTAGCGTAACGAGATGTCCTGCATCTCAGAGAGCGATATCTTCTGCCAGAGGGAAGAAGCTGGAACATGGCTTTCCCAGGGTGGCCAGAAGAGTCATTGACAATCCTAAGAGCTTTGTTTAAAAGTCTGGATTTATAAAGAACCTCCAGAACAGGAAGCTCACAGCCCACGGTCCTCTTTGCAGAGCGGAGCACCTTGTTTAAAGCTCTCTTTTCTTTATCTGTGATGTTTCCAAACCACACAGACACAGAACCAACAAGTAAACTCTCAATGGTGCAGCGATAAAAGTTAAGCAGAATCTTAGAGTTAGTGGTAAATTCTCTAAGTTTACGCAGAAAGTAGAGACGCTGACGAGCTTTCTTAACGACTCGGTCTGTGTTCTCCCTAAACGTCATGTGCCAGATTGTCTCGTCATCTACGTCATTGAGCTTAGTCATACTCCAATCACCAGTGTTATCATCAGATCAGAATCTCAATAACACAGAGAACACTAAATCATCATGGACGTTTGGTTCATTTACAATAACGTCAGAAGAGAAAAAAATAAATAAACCGGCACAACTTACTTTCCCAAAGCGAAGCATTCCAAGGTGATGTTTTGTCCCACCATCGCTGTGACGTCTGGGAATTTGACTTTGAGATCAGCAGGATATTTCCTGATGGGACCTGCAACAAAACCAGTTTTATTATTATTATAGACCTGAGGAAGTGGAATAGTTTACCTTTGTACTTTAGAGCAGCTTCTTCTTTGGAGACTTTTAAATCCAGCCTCAAGACACATTTGTGCTTTGGCTTTTTACCCCACCAAATAATATCTACTGTTTTACATCTGTGTATGCGTGTGTATTTCATGCTGTGTCTATTTGATGCTGTGTAGTTATCTGCATTAATGTGTATTTCATGCTGTTTAAATTTGACTTTTCTGTGTATGTATTTTTATTGTGTGGATGCAAAGCACTTTGGGCAGCTGGTGTTGGTGTAAATGTGCTATACAAATACCTTTGACATTCATCACTCATGCCCATGCACATACATGTAAGTTTGTAAGTAATAACAGTAATGCATCTGTTTTATATACATGTAGCACTTTCCAGGACACTCAAAGACGCTTCACATGTCATTATTCTTTCACTCCATACACGGTGGGGATAAACCACTATTGTAGCCACAGCTGCCCTGGGGCACACTGTCAACCCCTCCGACCGCCACCAGCCATTCACACTCACACACAACTACTTTATGAATCTGATCTGTGAAAGGCGGTATATAAAAAAACCATTACTTGCTAACTTACATACCAGACTCATTCTAGGCAATATGGGTGAAGTGTCTTGCCCAAGGACACAACGACAGATTGACACTTTTTAGCCACAGCCACTCCACTGTGACTCCTGATGTCCCCAGAGGTCTCCCATCATGGAACTAACCTGGCCCTGCCCTGCACAGCTTCAGAGGTCTAGCGGGATCTGGCTTTCGCATGCAAGAGTGACCAGATAATCTGTATTTACATAGTGCATTTCACAGTCCAAGGTCACACAAAGCATTTTACATTTCCATCTGTATTTCTCAGGTTATGCTGGTTTTATTTGCAAAGGTCATAAAAACAATCGCGAAGCAGGAGGTGGACTTTACTCACGCTCGGCTATAGGCACCAGGGGGATATAGTTGGAAAAGACGCTCTTGGAGATGGACGGACTCGACGCGATACAGGAATAGTTGCCGCTGTCCGACGAATCCACTTTGGAGATGTAAAGGTTGCCCGTTATCTGGGAGATAAACCGCCTCTTGTCCACCGAGATGAAGGTGGGGAACTCGTTGAAGATCCATCTGAACGACAGCTCGGCTAAAGAAAGCAAAGGAAGCGGAGACAATGGCAGATTAGACAAAAGCTGTCCATCAAAGAGCCCAGAGACATAGCAGCAGAGATGGGAGAGCGCGGCCACTCGCTGCGAGGGTGGCACAGTGGAACAAAACACGACCAGAATAGCACAATTATGCAGGCGTTGTATTCAAGCATCTATTGACCTTTTAGAGAGCGATTTCTGGCAGCGAGGTATTAGCGAGCGTTGATTAGGCCATTCTGCTTGGATAGACCTCACTGTTGGCATCCTAATTCACTATGTATTTGTAGATTAAATACATTGTAATTATGGTTTATTTAATTCAAATGATTTACAAGGATAGCAGTTGTGATAATTGTTGTCGATAATAGTATTTTTGTCCCAATTTTTTATCAACAAAACTTCATAGTTATACACATTGTATTTGTAAAATTGGTTGGTGTTTTTCAAAAGGGAACTCCCAGGAAGCTGCATTAGTAGCTGTCTGTTTTAAGATTTTATTTCAGGGTGGGGGGCTAGAAAGGCTCTATCATTATCTTATTTTAAATTATTATCGACTGGCCTTTTCATAATCCCTGTTCTTATTATTGGATGATTTTTGTTTTATTTGTGTGCATGGTGCGTGTCTATTTTTTCATGTATAGGTGCCAATGAGGTGATAATATAGGTGAGAAATACACATTTAAAATTTGTCTTATATCATTATTATTATTATTATTGTATTGTACATAAATTATATATTATATATAAAAATCCTTGTTTGTGACTTCCTGTTACTTACAATAGCAATAAATATAATTCTGATTCTGATTGTCACTATAGAGATGCACTAATCCAGCTATTCAAAGTCCAATACTGAAACATATACTGTGGCTTTTCAAAATAGATAGATAGATCGATACTTTATGGATCCCCGTAGAGGAGATTTCAGGTGTCCAGTTGCAGCAAAAACACATGCATCCATGCAAACAAAACCAATAAATTGATCATCTGCAGATACCAGATATGGACCAATACCAGAGGAGGACCTGGAAAAAAAAACGTTCAGCTAAATTGTTACAAAACGCCTCCAAATTGTGTTTTTCAAAATTCTGGCATTAATATCCAACACCAGTATCGTATCGGTGCATTCCTAGTTATAACATTACTGTATACAATCCAACATGCCTTAATACTGTGATTTTAAATGACACAATTATGATTATAATAATGATAAAAAGTGATTTCAGTTGTGTGCAGAGCTCGACAAATCCTGCTAAATGATTGTAACGAGACAGTCGCATCTTGATTCCTCTGAGAACATTACAAAGGCTGAGACAACAGGGGATATGGCTTTGGTTCATTTTATTATTACAGACTAAATGAGTTGAGAAGAGCGCCACGGCAGAGCGTCTGCACTAAGGACGTTAGAACTGGAGCGATGAGAACTATTGCTTTGGACAAAAGAAGTGAACGCTGCACACATCATCCCTGTTGTATTTTGGAACGTCAAGACCATTAGGACTCGTGTGCAATGTCACAGTAAAGAGTGTGAAAGAATCAACTTTGAAACGACTGAAATATAAAAATCGAATGTGCTTTTTATGTCACTGCTCAACTTTCCCGTAGGGGTCCACTTATCTCCATGGAGACGTTATTGCTCGGCTTAAAATCAAATCAATTCAGTTTTGTGATGAGCTAAATCACAACAGCAGTGGTCTCAAAAGCCTTCACATAAACGATGATGATGTTGATTCTCCAGCTGCTAATAAGAAAATCAATGCATTAGAACAGTGGGGAATACAGTATTGAAGCTAGGGTGCTTAACTTTTAAAGGAGCAGTATGTAAAAATCTGGCCAAAAATGATTCTGCAACCTCTCCCACTGGTCAGCACTAGATCATAAACGGAATCGGGACGGAAGCGGAAGTAAATATAACAAACTATGTATTCATGCCTAAACTTAACCAGCCATTCCCAAAGAATAACCCCAACCCACCCTTAACCCTAACCTTAATTTAACCATCTTACTCAGACACCTAAAACTTAACCAGTCACCACTAATGGACTTATTAGTCTAAAACTAATTCAAAGGATTGTTACTTCCGGTTTTGTCCCGATTCCGTATATGATCTTGTGCCTACCCTCTCCCACTCTCGCTGACTCAGGTTGCCAGATATGCAGTAACTGAAACAAGAGTTTTATCAACAACAAATCTAGAACAAGCACCATTTTCACAAAGATAGAAATTCTTGTTTAAGTCCCTGTTTTGTCATGAATGATTTGAGAATCATAACTAGATCTTTTTAGTTCTGTCGCCACATGTTACTTTACCAGTGAGATTAGCTTGGCGCGGAGAGTTATGGCAACCCGGACAACAGACTTTCTGATCGGTAAAACGGTGGAGGGCTGGACATCGAAATGAAAACCAGATGTGGGGGCTGTAAAATTAATTTTGCAATTCAAATATCTCAGCTGAATTACTCTTATCAGAAGTATTGGAAAAGAGCATGTTTAATTAATGCCTTTTGACTCAGCCAAAGCCAATCAGTAAACCATAAAATGCATTCTAATATGATTAAACCAGCATGTTGTGGTCGGATTTGTTCTCAAAATGTTACTTCAATTGAATTAATATTTATGTACAGAATGGCCTGTTGTACAAATGAGAGGGCAGCAGTTGTCAGGGCGTTTTAAAATGACAGTGTTTGTAATTTCACAAATAGAGATATGAAAGTGGCGTAAACAAGAGGTCGGACAGAAGTATATCTTGTACTAAAATGTCCATTACAAAGGTACACACCGCAACCTTAACTGTCTCACGTTTGATTTGGGAAGGCTTCCATTCACAAGTCCTAAATCACAACAATCAAACAGTTCAAGCACAGGAGAAGTACTAATAATAATAAAAACATACTATTGGTCCATATAGGGAACGTCCCAGTGTTCTGTCGAGTTGGTTTGCCCGTCGAGATGATCTGGCTCAGCTGTTAATGATGTACAGTAATGCAAACCTGCGCTGTGCGTCTCACGGCAGCCAAAGCAAACCAAGATGGCGGACATGTAGTCTGCGAATTGCTTTAAAAGGTAAATACGAACGAATTAAGACACAAATGTCACTTTTAGTGCAATTTGAAGCGAGATGTTGATGGTTCCGCGTTGTGATATGTGGGTTTTTAAAGTAAGAGTTTCGTGTAAAGTTTGTTTTAAGCAGTCCACTGCTCCTGTGAAACTACACTGCTAGTGTGCCCAAATCTGACTTGCGCATGCGCAGAAACCCGCCAGAATGGGGAAAAAAATCCATCTAATTAAATATTTTGTTTGAACACACTATTGTTAATCATATTGAATACAGTACGATACATGCATTAAATTTAATTTATTCTTTCCATTATGAACCCGACAGACCAGTCACAGGACGCGTCATGGGCCTGACGTATGCAGCAGTTAACTCAGGGACTGCGATCACACAGCAGCAGTGTAGTTTCACAGGAGCAGTGGACTGCTTAAAACAAACTTTACACGAAACTCTTAAAAGACACATATCACAATGCGGAACCATCAACATCTCGCCTCAAATTGCATTAAAAGTGACATTCGTGTCTTAATTCGTTTGTATTTAACTTTTAAAGCAATCTTGGATTGCTTCGGCTGCCGTGAGACGCGCATGCGCAGGTTTGCATTACATCATTAACAGCTGAGCCAGATCATCTCGACGGGCAGACCAACTCGACAGAACACCGGATCACCACTGTTCTCAGACCTCCGTGCATCGGCTAGGATCGACTCAAAAAAAAACAGTGAGAGAAAAATATGAGAAAACTTGGGGAGGTCCATGGATCTGCTACAGTTTATCCAGGACTCAGGACCAGGCATGTTGGGACAAACAAAATGTATTTATGAAACACTAAAAAGTTAGCTACCCCAAAATAATAAAACTTATAGAGACAAGGAGGTGATCATATATTTAAGGAATTGGAATCTATTTGATGTTTTAGGTCAAAAAGCGTTTCATTAATCTAAATATTTGTGACTAAATGTATAATATAGCCGGTGTATAGAGTATAAAGAGCGATCACACGTGGCCTGTCCCATGATGCAGATGTAGGGCTATGTGGGGCACACTGTCAGGTCTCAAAATGCTCCCAAAGACAAAATCAGTGCAAAAGTCTGCATAATGAGCCATGTTTTGTGAGTGAGGGGGTTGTGCACAATCATAGTGCTGCAGTTACCTGGATAATGTGGAGGAGGGGCACACAGCAGCACGGCGCCCTGGCCCTCTTTCACATACACCGACTCCCGCTCCTCTGATGAGAAGAAATCAAGGTCTGCGAGACACAAATCAAAAGGCTGTCTGTCAAGAAGTACTTCAAAAGACACTCCCTCTTTGTTACACTGCACACCCAAAAGCAGCAGAGGACTTCGAGTAATTCAGTGCTGAATGTCTGTCAAAAAAACAACATGGATGAAGTACATTATAGGGAAAGATACATAATGTTAACTTATATAACTTTGCACTACATACAGTATATAGATAGATAGATAGATAGAGATTTAGTGATATTGAAGCATTTACAGTTAGCTGAGAAACATAGCAGCTAATTATATTGTATATTGTGTGTGCTTCCTGTGTGCTCTTACTGCTGTCCTGTATGTGCGCTGCAACACTGAAATTTCCCCACTGTGAGACAAATAAAGGTTCTCTTATCTTCTATCTTATCTCATTACTATCTTACTATCAGTACATTGATGTTGAGAAATCAATTTGTTTTTTACTGTATTAAAATAATATATTTTTCATATGCATTAATTTACATGTTACTATAAATAGCCATATATTGTCAGATAAACATGATTTCTAGTTTCAAATTATCACATTATTGGGCAGATGCGCAGGTCATACAAGTTGGCCCAGGAATTTAAGATGAGGATATAATTTATTTGTCGCACTGTGGGGAAATTTCAGTGTTGCATCACCAGTTACAGAACAGCAAGAATGAGGAACACACAGCAATAACTCTACACTAAAATAACATCTCTAACTTTAGCATCAATAAAGAAGCTAGTATACAATCTCTCAGCGTTACCGTCAGACACGATAAAGAACCTGATGCACAACTACTCCAAACTATCATAGATGTGTCGTTATTATAATTCAAAAATGTAAAAACATATTTATACGACAGCATAAGGATTCACACAGCCACCAACCACGGGTGAATAAAGTTTTAATCTCTGAAAAACAACCAAAAAGTTGTAAATTGGCATTGTGGGTATAGAGCACTTTTAATTGACTCCACTTTACTGCGATTCTTTCCCAAAGTAAAATCTCATTAAAACGTATTCAAACTTAATATCATACAGTAAGAATCAGATACATGTTAATGCCTACTATGAAAGCACAACGAATTCCATTACCTCCACACACACTTACACTGCAAAAAATGATCAAATTTGAGATAATAATTGCTTTTTGCCAATGGGACAAAGTCATTTTTCTCATTCCAAGGGAGACATTTCTTGTATCTTTTCAAAACAAGATAATTCTGCTTGTTTTAAGGCGGTCAAAATGTGTAAAAAATGTGTGGGGTTTTTCTCCTTTCGTTCTTTTTCTTTTCTCCGTATGGCACTGGCTGTAGATTTGAAAAAAATATCTGTATCTGTGAATTAAAGCTAACCCAGGCCCTTTTTATTTTATTTACTATTAGGTTTATTATCATTATTCATATTATTATTACGTATATTCTGATGTCGGATATGCTTTGAGTATCATTTGCATTGATCATGTTGAAATTTACAAAGACACAATATTAAGTAAGTATATTAATATAAGTATTAGAAAAATGCGTTGTCAACATCAGACTTTTATGTTATTATTGCTATTGTATTGTATTGTTTGTGTAAATGTTGCATAATAAAAAATAAATAAATAAAAATAAATAAAAATAAAAATGTGTTCAAATACATGCCAAATTCAGACATTTTTTACTTCTTTTTCATCACTTTTTGCAGTGTAAGCTTTGCCCTGCTTGCCCTCTGCCACTTCACACGCACACCGCGACACCAATCCAGTCCAAACCAGACGCAGATGGTCCACTCACATCCAAACTGGACCGAGGCGGAGCGGCTGAGGACGGAGCCGTACTTGTTGGAGGCCAGGCACGCGTAATCTCCCACATGTTTGCTCTTGGTGGGAAAAGCAATGATCAAGTTTCCTCCGGCTAAACTGTAGTGGTCCCCGAGCGCGTTCAAGTCAATTTCCTCTTTGTTAAACATCCACCTGTAAGAGATTAAACAGACATTACTCCTTTAAAGTCAGAAAATCACTTCAAACGCACGTTCAGACTCTTGCAAATGAAAACAAATTGGTTGTTTTTAAATCCAATCCGTTGAAGCCAATAATGAGCATGAGGTGAACTCGGGTCAAAACTAATTTTTTTCTAACGTTTCACTCACTGACAGTAGGAAACAGCAGGGTCGCCATTAGCATATATTTGCATGTCAATCTAAATGGGTTGTCCAAAATACTTAATTAAGAGGGCAAAGCAAAGCTAAGACATGGTGTCAGTTTGAAGAGATTGCACTAAAAGAATGTGGCATTTATTTATTTATTCTTCATAAGTTTCTTCTGAAAGTGGAGACAAAAACCTCAAAAAACAAGACAAAATAAAACAAAGAAAAGTAAATATTTGTCGGTCTACACATCTCATCATTTGTATCTAATTTCTCTTTTAGATGCGACTACTTAAATCTGGGATACCTAACTTTTGTTTTAATGAATAATACATGTTTTTTGTCCCAATAGAAAGTCTAGTGAAAGTACAGTAGAACGTTGATTCCAAGATTCTGACTTCATTGTATCAGAAAGAATGTTATTTTTTTGCATAATTTTAAACAATTTCAACAACAAGATGAATATTATTATTATAAATCATTGTGAATCAGGGTGCAGTTTTTAATTGTCAATCAAAAGGGTAACGATGGCTCAGTGTGGGACTGGTGTATACTGTAGTTGCTGTGTTACTGGTATATAGTTGCATGTCTAACTGGTAGCTGGTTGCATGTGTTACTGGTAGCTGGTTGCATGTGTTACTGGTAGCTGGTTGCAAGTGTTACTGGTAGCTGGTTGCAAGTGTTACTGGTAGCTGGTTGCAAGTGTTACTGGTAGCTGGTTGCAAGTGTTACTGGTAGCTCGTTGCATGTGTTACTGGTACTTGGCTGCAAGTGTTACTGGTAGCTGGTAGCATGTGTTACTGGAAGCTGGTTGCATGTGTTATTGGTAGCTGGTTGCATGTCTTACTGGTAGCTGGTTGCATGTGTTATTGGTAGCTGGTTGCATGTGTTATTGGTAGCTAGTTGCATGTCTTACTGGTAGCTGGTTGCATGTGTTATTGGTAGCTGGTTGCATGTGTTACTGGTAGCTGGTTGCATGTGTTATTGGTAGCTGGTAGCATGTCTTACTGGAAGCTGGTTGCATGTGTTATTGGTAGCTAGTTGCATGTCTTACTGGTAGCTGGTTGCAAGTGTTACTGGTAGCTGGTTGCATGTCTTACTGGTAGCTGGTTGCATGTGTTATTGGTAGCTGGTTGCATGTGTTACTGGTAGCTGGTTGCATGTGATACTGGTAGCTGGTTGCATGTGTTACTGGTTGTTGGTTGCATGTGTTATTGGTAGCTGGTTGCATGTGTTACTGGTAGCTGGTTGCATGTGTTACTGGTATTTATTTGCGTATGTCACTGGTTGTTGCTTGCATGTGTTACTGGTCATTGGTTGCATGTGTTACTGGTTGTTGGTTGCATGTGTTACTGGTAGCTGGTTGCATGTGTTACTGGTAGCTGGTTGCATGTGTTACTGGTATCTGGTTGCATGTGTTACTGGTATCTAGTTGCATGTGTTACTGGTATCTGGTTGCATGTGTTACTGGTATCTGGTTGCATGTGTTACTGGTAGCTGGTTGCATGTGTTACTGGTAGCTGGTTGCATGTGTTACTGGTATCTAGTTGCATGTGTTACTGGTATCTGGTTGCATGTGTTACTGGTATCTGGTTGCATGTGTTACTGGTAGCTGGTTGCATGTGTTACTGGTATTTAGTTGCGTATGTCACTGGTTGTTGCTTGCATGTGTTACTGGTCGTTGGTTGCATGTGTTACTGGTAGCTGGTTGCATGTGTTACTGGTAGCTGGTTGCATGTGTTACTGGTATCTGGTTGCATGTGTTACTGGTATCTGGTTGCATGTGTTACTGGTATCTGGTTGCATGTGTTACTGGTATCTGGTTGCATGTGTTACTGGTAGCTGGTTGCATGTGTTACTGGTATTTAGTTGCGTATGTCACTGGTTGTTGCTTGCATGTGTTACTGGTTGTTGGTTGCATGTGTTACTGGTAGCTGGTTGCATGTGTTACTGGTAGCTGGTTGCATGTGTTACTGGTATCTGGTTGCATGTGTTACTGGTATCTGGTTGATGTGTTATTTGTAGCTGGTTGCACGTATTACTGGTAACTGGTTGGATGTGTTACTGGTTTTTGGTTGCATGTGTTACTTGTATGTTGCTGGTGGATCGGCTCGGGCGCGGCAGCTCATGGTGATCTTGGACTCCGGTGACTCCTCTGGGTAGATGGTGTCCACCGGCTGCTCTTCAAACAGAGGTCCGAAACCCGCCGGCCCGTCTGCAGACACACACACACACACACACACACACACACACACACACACACACACACACACACACACACATGCACACACATACACACACACACAGAAACACACACACACACACACACACAAGACCAGGACATACACACATGGTCAAGTTCCCAATCTGGTTTTAACACAACTTCATAACAGAAAGAGAGGTTGCTTCATGATAAACATAGGCCGCTGTTTTTTTGTTTTTGCCAGTGAATGGTTTACGTAAAAAGGGATTGTTTATCTATATAGCACATTTTACAGACCAAGATCACCCTAAGCGCTTTACAATGGTCAGAGCTCAGATATTTTTCCATTCTCTCCACACACGGTGATGACGAAAGCAAGACACCATGAAGAAGATGATAAAGTCTGGGATTGCGTCTTTAATTCAGACAGAAGACATGTTTTATTGTTGATGGTAGAGACAGCACAAACACAGATACAACAGAATGCAAGTGTATTATACAGAGCGGAGGCATGGAGACCTCCAATCAGCAGCTGCCACAGTGCCAGCCGAGATAGTCAAAACAAGTAGTGGAAAAGTACAGGCTTCTGCATATTGATAGAATGATGAGTTTAACTTTAACAATCCATCCATCCATCCATTTTCTACCCTTTAATCCATTTCTGGGTCAGGGGGGTGGCAATCAGAGATGCCACCCAAGTCTCAGAGTGGAATCAAGGGCTGTGCAGTTTGTCCAAGTGCTTATCCAGATGCATGGTTTCTCTTGAGGTTTTCCAAATGTTTCTTTAAAAAACCCACATTTTTGTGTAAAAAAAAAAGTCTTCTGTTCTGTAGATGTTACAGACAATGCCCGCATCCTTCCACCACCCAAAGAAGATGACAAAGTCTGGGATCGCGTCTTTAATTCAGACAGAAGACATGTTTTATTGTCGATGGTAGAGACAGCACGAACAACACGAACAAGGGATGTTACGACAGCAAGTGTATTATACAGCATGGAGGAATGCAGTCCTCCAATCAGCAGCTTCCACGGTGCCATGTAGCTTGGCCTTCAGAAGTCAAAACAAGGGAAAAGTACAGGCTTCTGCACATTGATAGAATGATGAGTTTAACTTTAACAAAAGTTGCTTAAAAGTGTTATGAAATCTCTACAACCGAACGCCATCCATTCACTCACTCAATACATTCAGACATGTTTTTAGTGGTAGGGGAAACCGGAGCACACGGAGGACACCTACACAGACAAGGGGGAGAACATGCAAAAACGTGAAAAGGATTATGAAATTTGACCGAGCTTGATAATATATACATTTTGCAGACATGGAACAGGTCTTCATAGTCATAGGTTAGATGTCCATCCATGGATTCTTCCCCTTAATCCATTTCTGGGTTGGGAGGGGGGTGGCAGTCAGTACACATAGCACCAGCCCCTAAGTTAGCACCAGCCCCTAGGTCAAATGTACGCATGATAAAAGAGGAGGCACTTTGTGGAGTAGCAAAAGTCACCACTGAACGAAGCCTATTTTAGCAGAAACCTGATAATGTTTGCAGTGAACAATCCTGCATAGACTTGGAGTAATAGTGAAAACGCAACATGTGATTGCGACAGAGATGTTCTCAGGGAGCAAATCACTATGATACACCCATCTTTTGGAAATTGCCTCTTTTTTTTTGGCCCAAGAAAAAAAAAACACAGCCGTAACTGATGTACCATAATATCATATGGCCTTGCAGACACATCCCGAGAGAGTGCAAATACTTTCTCTACACTATTAATACGCACACACAATTAGCCTCAATTACTCCATAAAAACAGACATGAAGAAAAATCATGAATAAGACATTACGACAACGCCAGGTTATGAATAAGCAATGAGCGTCTCCAAATACTGATTATTCCAGCAGATAAAAAGACAGAACGTGTCAGATTTTTGGGGGGATTTCTGAGTGCTTGTTATTCCACGTGCCTGTGATGTCTCGGGACGCAGAGCCGACACCTCCCGAGTGCGAGCTTGTTTTTTTGATGCCGATATCTGAGCTCTATTCAGCACCTACTCCCAGGGCCTCGGAAGTCGCTCATGCTGCAAATGTCAAATCGACCAGCGGTAACAACCTTCAGAGATATACAGTAGGATAGCAGTGCAGGAGCTAAGGGCTGGTGGAAATGACAAATATAAGAACGTTTTAAGAATTACCTAAATAAGAATGAACTAAATCTGGCATGTATTTGAATTATGTTTATGGGATGGGAGTCTACAAGTTCATACTTTGTTCCCACTCCATTTCGAGCTGACAAATTGTAAATAGAAATGCATTTGTTGATACGTTTTGAAATTTTAAATATACCACACATGGTGAAACTGCGGCGAATACTGTTGCTTGATTGTATAGTTATGTTTGGATATTTGCAAGTGTAAGTATATACTGTCAGCTCAGGAGGCATGTACAAAAACAATGTACAAAAAGTGATGTAAACTAAGGAATGTAAATATTGCAATTACTCGTGAATGTAACCTTTCTGCCCAAATCAATCAATCAATAATGAGTGGCGTAATTAAAATGGTTTTACAGATGGTACAATGTCAAGAAATGTGATTATTCTGATCTGTTGGGAGCTAATACACCTGTTATAGTTTGCATTTATGTTCTTGAGATCTATTTCAGTTAGAGGGGCAGGTGGCAATACAGCTCTATTGGCAAGAAGCAAAAAAATACTTGATTATTATATGATAGTGATTAGAATGACACACTGGACATAATTTCTTCATACGGTATGTACTAACATCAATTGGCCCAGGAATAGAAGAGATATGAGAATTTAGCTCCAAAGAAAGTCTATAGAAAACGGTTATAAGAACCTATTTCTCAACTGACCTCCTCCACGATAAACTATAGGCTCTTTCAAAAATATATACATTCTTTATCATATCCCTGAAACTAAAAACAAACTTCAAAACAACATACTTCAATAGAAAAATGACAAACATAGGGCAATTATTAATCAAAGTTCCCTCAGAGATTTTTTTTTTACTTCTCACAACCAATTCAACGACACTGCGAAAAGTGATGAAAAATAAGTCAAAAATTGCTTAATTCGAGCACATTTTGACAGCCTTAAAACAAGACTTACCACTGGGGCAAGTGAAATGATCTTACAAGATACAAGAAATGCCTCTCTAGGAATGAGAAAATAAAGCAACAGTTCTTGAAATGAGTCTAAGCGGCTTTGTCCCATTCGCAACTCTGGTTTTAAGACAATTAGAATATACTCAACTTAAGAAAAATACACTCGATTCAAGCAATTATTACCTCATATGTGATCATTTTTAGCAGTGTAACTTTAGAATCACGTAGTATCACTCGGAAGCCCTCACTTCTAAAAGCCTTTTGGTTGCGTCAGGACAGGGAGCCAGGCTGAAGCCCCTCTCTCGCTGCAGCTGTCTGACGAACGCAGAACTCCAGGGACGATCACTGCCGCCTCACTGACAATTAAACACTGAATGGAGTTTGTGGAGCAGACGAGCACCGTATTAACACTGAACCACGTCCAGGGAGGAAGGGGGAGGGACTGAAGAATACTGAGACATCTGCATGCTGCACTGTAAAATACGAAGGGTTCTGTATCGGATATTGATTCTTGTTTTGCATTGTGTTGTAGTATGTGTCTGAATGGCTGAAGGGGATTGGGCGAATACAAGATTTTTGCTTAAACCCCTCCCTTGTCAAGCCATAAACAGGTTCTCTTGTTTGCTTTCTTTTTAATTATGTCTTGTGCATGTTTGAAAAGAATAAATAAAAATCTTGATATTCTTCGGTGGAAAATGAGTTAAAGGTAGATACAAGTAAAATGTAATTTCATAACAAAAAAGATAATGACATGATATACTGGTAAAAAAGTCATGGTTAAGAAGACCACACAGAGTTGCAAAAGTGAAACTCTGCAGCCGTTAATCAGAAAGCAAAGTAATTGTCATCAAAGTGTTTAAAATATAAAATCAAACAAGTTAAATCATTCGATCTAATCTTCTCACATTGTTTTTTTTAACATTATTTGGACCAATTAGATGATGTAGCCAAACTTGTATGCGAAAGCCAGATTCCGTCAGACCCTCAGGTGCCACAGTGGGGCGACTGCGGCTATAAAGTGCCAAACTGCTGCCGTGTCTCTAGGCAAGACACTTCCTCCACATTGCCTACACCCTGGAATGAGTGGTGAGTGAGTGAATGGTTGATGGTGGTCTGAAGGGCAGATGGCACATACTAGTTGCCTCACTTCTGTCAGGGAGCCTCAGGGCAGCTGTGGCTACATAGTTTATCACCGCGAATGGAGTGAAAGAATAATGACATTTGAAGCATCTTTGAGTGTCCAAAAAAGCACTGTATAAAACTGATGCATTATTATTATCATCATCATCATCATCATCATCATCATCATCACGATCATCATCATATTATTATTATTATTATTATTTTTATTATCATCATCATCATGGATAAGGGGTAGAAAATGGATGGATCATTATTATTATTATTTTTATCATCATGATCATCATCATCATCATTATTTCTATTATTATCATCATCTTCATCATCCTCACTATCATCATCATCATCATCATCACCATCATCACCATCATCATCATCATCATTATCACCATCATCATCATCACTATCATCATCATCATCACCATCATCACTATCATCACCATCATCATCATCACTATCATCATCATCACCATCATCAATATCATCATCATCACTATCATCACCATCATCATCATCACTATCATCATCATCACCATCATCAATATCATCATCATCACTATCATCACTATCATCATCATCATTATTTCTATTATTATCATCATCTTCATCATCCTCACCATCATCATCATCACCATTATTTCTATTATTATCATCTTCATCATCCTCACTATCATCATCATTATTAATATTATTTTCATCATCATCATCATCATCATCACCATCATCATTATTTCTATTATTATCATCTTCATCATCCTCACTATCATCATCATTATTAATATTATTTTCATCATCATCATCATCACTATCATCACTATCATCATCATTAATATTATTATTATTATCATCACCATCAATATCATCACCGTCATCATCATCATCATCACCATCATCATCATCACCATCATCACTATCATCACCATCATCATCATTAATATTATTATTATTATCACTATCATCACCATCATCATCACCATCATCATCATTAATATTATTATTTTTATCATCATCACCATCATCACTATCATCACCATGATCATCATCATCATCATCACCATCATCACCGTCATCATCATTAATATTATTATTTTTATCATCATCACCATCATCATCATCACCATCATCATCATCATCATCACTATCATCACTATCATCATCATCATCATCATTAATATTACCATCATCATTATTATTATTAAGGATCATTTCCAAAGGCACACTTTGCAAAGTCTCCAGTCACACAAACATGCCACGTCACACTGGTTGAAAAACACTGCCTTAGAGCACATACAGTACAGAAAGTGAGCGCCTCAGATCTGTTAAACATCTACATAGCATATAAAAAACTGAAAGTGTTATATGTCCTTAGTCTGAGCTGGTGGCGTCTGAGCCGTGTCCGTGTAAAGTGGGCTGTGACAGATGGCTCAGAGAAGTGTCAGAGCGGACCACATAAGACCCGCAGCCTGGAGACTCCCAGGCCTTTCTGTCCGCCTCACTTCACCCTCCACCATCCATCCATCTCCGGCACTGTACACATCCGACAAACGCTCGCTCGATCCGCCATGCTTCAAACACACCAGGCTCCGAGGATAAAGCAGAGGACAGAGAAGAGCCATTTCCAGGATATGTGACCTTCTAGTACTGTAGTCATCGGTCAGTCCACGCAAGTCCACGCAGGCAGATGGAGGAGATCAAAAGTAGCACGATTGTATTAGGAGTCTGTTCCTCTTCCTAGAATCAGATTTGTTCGCCCTAGGAATGAGATAAATTAGCTCTAAACTAATGAAGAAGATGACATAGTCTGGGATCGCGTCTTTCATTCAGACAGAAGACATGTTTTATTGTCAATGGTAGAGACAGCACGAACAAAACACACGATCACAGAAACAATAGAATGCAAGTGTATTATACAGAGCGGAGGCATGGAGACCTCCAATCAGCAGCTTCCACGGTGTGCTTGTAGCTTGGCCTTCAGATAGACAAAACAAGGGAAAAGTACTGGCTTCTGCACATTGATAGAATGATGAGTTTAACTTTAACAAAAGTTGCTTCAAAGTGTTATGAAATCTCACATTCCCCCCTCTGGTCATACATTCACGTGTGACCATCAGGATCGATAAACAGCAACATAACATCATAACTCAATACTTCAAAAACTCATAAACTCGGTACTTCATTCGGTACTTCAAAAAACTCATAACTCGGAATACTTCAAAAATTCATAAAACATGTTCAGATCTTTCATAAAACTTGTCAACAATCTTCAGTAAAATACCAAACTTCATCAGTCGATGGTGGTTCCAGATATTGCTTTGAAAACAGTCTCTCCCACTTCTCCGTGTTGGTTTCTTCAGCTGCATTTGTTGTGTCGAGCCATGAATTCTTCTGTGACGTGTCTTTCAATCACACGTTTCTGCTTTAGTGTCCAGATTCAGAAATCCAATTCAGTCCAAATTAAGTCCAAATTGTTCCAAATGATGTCCATGCAAAAGAGGACGCTGGTATTGTCCATGTCTCAGCAGCTCACAGCAGGCCTGAGTAGAATCAGGGGCTGTGCAGATTGTCCAAGTGTGCTGGTCCAGATGCATTCTCTTGAGGTTTTTCAGTTTTGTCTGGAAAAAAAACACTTTTTGTGTTAAAAAAAAAAAAAAGTCTTCTGTTCTCTAGATGTTACAGACAAGGCCCGCATCCTTCCACCACCTGAAGAAGATGACATAGTCTGGGATCGCGTCTTTCATTCAGACAGAAGACATGTTTTATTGTCAATGGTAGAGACAGCACGAACAAAACACACGATCACAGAAACAATAGAAT